GCGACTTACTTGGGTCGATGGCTAAATTGGTTAACGTGGTTGTAGGAGGGGGTGTTAAATGAGTGATCACGTACACTCGTATGCGAAAGGGCGGCGCTGGTCGAAGGGACGTCGATCATTGTGTTTGTGGATTCGTTGGAATTCATTTCACCGCGACCTTGGACGTCGACGCGCCGTACAAACCAACCGACGAGCGGCAACTGAGCGAGCGAGCGCCGACCTTGAGTGTATATACAGCGCGACGGCGCATGCACTGTCAGCTGTCCCCTAAAAAGCGGTGTTGTGGTTGCAAGTATTAGCAATATTGCACGGCGGGCATCACACGCATCTTCTCACGCGGCTCTGTTCATTACCGTGGTGCCAAACTTATTAACAACATATATCAATTCGTACCCTGCTTCCTTGACGACTTTACTTGCTGAGATATGTTAGTGGCGTGGTCGTGTTATAGCTATCGGGGATGCGTCTTTATCTTTACTATGAATGCGCACGGAATCAGCGTTCTCTCAGTGCGCCCACCAGTGGTGTTGTAAAAAGACGTCTTACAACATGTATACATTATTAATGATAAATGGCATACATTCAAACCGACATGCGTTATTAAGGAGCGTCGGACGCGTTACTCGAAGGTCGCAGGTTTGGTCCCTGCGACCATCTGCTATCTTTTTGTTCACTTTTTTTATTCACGTTTACGTTACACTAACATCCTCTTTACATTCCTTGGCATCATTGTGTTTTGGTTGTCGTGAATATTGTGCGTAGCAAAGAAAAACGGCCCCTTAGAATTCTTCTAACGTGCATACATGTTCGTAACGCTTGGTGTTTTTGAGGGAGGCTTGGCCAGCTTTGAATTTCGGTTCATGGAGAACAAGCAAACGCATACTAATAACGAGTACAACGATCGTCTCAAGCGTATCGCCACTACTACGAAATGATCTGACGCGCACGCCATACTGTTTCGTTGCGTTAACGCGTTCAACCCATCAAACAGGGCATCGAGAGTTGAGGGTGGTACGCAGAACAGTCTTTACATATTGCGTAACTGCCGAAAGATGGTGCATGATAGAAAAGGAGACGTTCGAAAGTTCCAGAAGTAATAAAGGGGGAAAGTAGGAATGGAGGAATCAAAGAAAAGGAAGAAAAGAGACCCGCTTCTGTTGCGACAAAGTGGGATGGCGCGCACGCACTGCAACCCACTATCACACCGTGCCTGCTGGACGATGTCGTGCAACTTCGAACGAAGAAGGCGGGCGACCCGCGTCAGCCCTAGTTTCTTTCTTGTGTGCACGTTACGCACAGCGCACCCGGACAAAAAAGTAAAGCCCGTGTCTCCCCGGATGTCGTGCGGGAATGCTTCTTTCTTTCCTTAGTTTTTCTTTTTTTCTAAACCGCACGTGCGCACGATGCGAAGCCGGCGTTCTTTTCTGACGGCACCTTATTTTCGCGTCGACGCTGGTGTTAATACGCGCGTGGCCGACATAACCGCACGCGGGTTTGCGGCTTCCGAGTCTCATGCACGCGCGAATGGGCGAATGGGACGCACGCGAAGAAGCAGGCTGTTTTTGCGAGTCGTCCTTTGTCTGCTATATCGTATGAGGCACAGTTGCTGTACATTAAGAGGGGGATTTCCTGCATTGTTTTCTATTGTTGGCTTTGTTACCAAGAGTGCGATGCTGGTTTATTTATTTATTTATTTATTTATTTATTTATTAGAATACCCTCAGGGCCCGTAGGGCATTACAGCGGGGGTGGGTACAACATATATAACACACAAGAAAAAAAGACAAAATAAAGAAACAAGTAACAGATGCGCAAATCAGGAAGGCAACATAAGTCAACTAAAAATGTATAAGAATTTAAGCACATACAAGACAAAGATAGATAATGGAAACTGCGTATAGTTACAAGCATTGCTGAGAAATTGCAGTCTTGAATAACAAAGGGTCTGTTATTGATATACAACGGAAGAGGGAAGGTGGTTCCAATCGGCGGCTGTTTTTGGTAAGAAGGCTGCTGAAAAGAATTTGGTGCGGCAAAACGGAATGGCAACCTTATGCTGATGATCAATGCGCGATGAGTGGTATGACGGTTGTGAAATGAGGTCTCGCTTCATTGATGGATTGTGAAAAAATATCTTATGAAAAAAATGCAGTCGCGCCAGTTTCCTCCGGACAGTTAAATTGGGTAGGTCAAGGTTAGATTTCATTTCTGATATGCTAGCAGTACGGGAATAATTAGAACAAATGAACCGAACTGAGCGGTTCTGAACAGATTCTAACGCGTTAATTAAATTTTGCTGCACGGGATCCCATATAGCGGACGCGTACTCAAGCTTTGGGCGAATTAGTGATCGGTATAATAGAATTTTGAGGGACAGCGGAGCGCGAGAAAAGTTGCGGCGTAAGTATCCTAGCGTTCGGTTGGCGTTATTACAGATGTAGGTAACATGCGTGTGCCAAGATAGATTGTTGGTAATGTAAACGCCGAGGTACTTATATGAAGAGACATGCTGGAGGGGAACGGCGTTAATTCTGTAGGTACAGGGGGGAGAAATAGATCGCCGGGTTATTGACATGCATTTAGATTTGTTAGAGTTGAGAGTCATAAGCCATTTATTGCACCAGGTTGAGACAGTGTCAAGGTCTGACTGTAGAAATTGGTTATCATATTCATTGTTTATTTCGCGGTAAATTACACAATCATCTGCAAATAACCTTATAGCGGAGTTAATGCTGTCTGGGAGATCATTAATATATATAAGAAAAAGTAAAGGGCCTAATACGGAACCTTGGGGTACGCCGGATGTTACTTTAGAAAGAGGTGAGTTATAGCCATTAGTTGTTACAAACTGAGTGCGATTAGTCAGAAAGCATTCAATCCATTTAAGAATGTTCGGGTCAATGTTTAAGGCACTAATTTTCAGGAGGAGTAATGGTTCTTTGACAGATGCGCTCTAGCCTTACGCTGGTTAAGCAACTCCAGACGCCTCTATGCCATTATCTCTGTTACCCTTAATTAGCGTGCATAGGCGGGCTAATATAGGGGGGGGGGGCGGCGGTGTTAGTCTGGAGTTCCAAGAACTATTTACTTTCCACCGCTACCACTTGGCAAAGCGAGGTCCAGTGATAGACACGGCGTCGATTCATTTTGATCTTGACATACATTGCACTTCTTGAAGGGCATAGCCAGGGGGTGGCACATCGGCCTCACACCTATGCGACCTTATACAGGTGGAAGAGCAGCTAAACGCTATCATCGAAGTCGTACACCGGCTCCGAATCCTTCTACACCTGCAGCGGCAGCTCTAGCCAGCTACAATAATATACTGTAATCTATAACGCTGCCACGGCCTGTCGCACCCCTGCCAGAAATACTGCCATGTATTGTCACCGACTAAGTCGCGATCTTCAGCTAAAATAGAAGTAGAGGGTCTATTGAGTATTTACGGATATTAATGACAGACAGTGAAACAATATTTATTAATGGCAAAATAAGCCCTAAAAGTCGCCTGCTGTAAATTCTGCCCACTGCCGGTGACCGCCATTTTGCCACGGCATTTGAGATGTCACCTGCTTCGTGGAGTGGAGCCGTGTTCTTCTACCGAACTTTGAACTGCCGCCAATTATTCAATTTCTGAAGGCCAAGCTGAAGAAAGCTGACATAAATCCATTGTGGTATGCATCGTTGAGGCGCTGAACCTGCACCTGACCTCGAAACAAAACCGCTGGCTGTAATATAGACGCCCGCAAAGCAGTCGGCTTCTTACGTCGCGGCTTACGAGTGCTTGCGAGTCAGCCCATTCGCGTTTTATCGAAACATTCGTTATATATAAGGTGTTCAACCAGATGCGCTGAAACTTCGCCAGCTTGTTTCTGAACATCCGGGAATCAACCCACATAACACAGATTGTGAGCGGAAATTCGGCGTTACGGCCCCTTTAAAGCACAGGCCACGGACATGCAGCCGACCACTGACTTGCCTGTGGTCACAGGCATATAGTTTCCTAAAAATAACAAGAGGGGACTCTGGCGCTGAGATCGTTCAGCGACCATGGGAATGATGGGTAGTACATGGCTTTGCCTATGCTCGTGGGCTTCGAATGCAGTTGCGGCTTCGTCTATTCCAGTGTTTTTGTTTTTTGGATGAAAGAACAAACAGCTTTGAATTTCGTGACCTGATTCGAATTGGTGAGCCTTAAAGGTGAAGGTGGTGAAGTGGAACTGCAGAACAACTGCTGTTTTTCGTTTTGTGACAAATCAGCTCTGAGCAACACGATGCCTACCGGAGCCAGAAGTACAAAACTTAGACAAATCTCGTTACTACCCATCATTCCCATGCATGCTCTCTGAAGCGCCGTGCGTTGCAGCTCCCACATACACTAACGCCAGAGTTTCTTCTTGTGTATCGATAGGAAACTCTATGGTCACAGGGGCACAACCATCAGCAGGCGTAACCATCAGCAGAAATCAGCAGGCGCAACGTGCTGCATGCTAGCCTCCTATGCCCTGACGAGCAGCGCACATCCTCACACAACACAGAGGCACAGTGCCTGCCAGTATTTGCAGAGCTCGCAGCTACGCGGGACTGTTTATCGGCCTAGGTTTTCAAGCTAGATTGCTTGTCGCTGAACAGATTGCCTATATACACATGCGTAGGCTGTCCAAGTGGCTTGCCTCAGATCAGCAACGCCTTATCGACCCGCGGCTTGTCCTTTTCCGGGTGCTAAGCATCATCGGTATGAACGTTTCTTATAAATGCAGTGTTAATCAAATATTGTAAATAATATCTTTAACATACAGAAGGTATTGTACCGCCTATTGATTTTTCTATCGTTCTTTTTCTCTCTCTGCGTCGAATCCTGTGCAGCAGCCATAGGGTATTGTAACTAGATAAACTATTTTGGCTGGCAACCTTTTTTTATAAAAGTTATTGTCTACTTGTTATGTGATTTGGTTGCTGTTTTATAAAGGGCGCTTCTGCTTTTCTCTTTCCCTCCCCAGAACCTGGCGTTCAGCGCCCGGGACCGCGACAACATGTCCCTGCGCGGCCTGATCCCGCCGGCCGTCCGCTCTGTGGAGACCGAGCTGCAGGCGGTCATGGACAATATTAAGCTGTACGAGTCGGGGCTCGCAAAGTACCTCTATCTGCGGGAGCTGCACGTGAGTATACATATACGCGCGTAGTGTATGCAGACGGCTCAGCATGACCGTCGCCGCTTCTTGCTGCTTTGTATCATCGTCATCATCATCAGCCTCACTACACCCACTGCAGGACAAAGACCTCTCCCGTGTTCCGCCAGTCAACTCGGTCATGTGCTTGCTGGCGCCACTTAGTACCCGCAAACTTCCTAATCTCGTCTGCTCACCTAACTTGCTGTCTCCCCTCACCCGCTTGCCTTCTCTTGGAATCCAGTATGCGACCCTTAATGACTAGTAGTTAATCTGCCTTCGCGCTACGTGCCCTGTCCATGACCATTTCTTCTTGTTGATTTTGACTATGATGTCCGTGACACCCATTTATCCCTTCGTATGAACTCTGCTTTCTTCTTGTCTCCTAGGTTGCCCCTTAGAGTACATCTATAATTCTTCTTTCCATTGCTTAATGCGTCGTCCTCAACGTGAGTTGAGCCGTATTTGGTAACGACGTGGTGTCGGCACCGCGTCGTTATCAAGATCGGAATCAAGACTCGTAAAAAAAAAATTATGCATTAGACACCGCTATGGACACTCCACTACAAATTCACTCCTTGGTATTTTCGTCTCTGCAACATTTGCTGCAACTGCTACACATTTCTTGCAAGTCCTGGTGCGTCCTCTCTGCAGTCACACATTTTCCGGTTGTGCAAAATTTCAATAAAAGAAAATGTATCTTCGAAAGTACAACACAGGCCGTTGCTTTCAGTCCTCAAAAATTTAAACCGAGCGCACCTACGTGATATATTCAGCCAAATGTGGTTTTAATGCATACGGAACTGCATAGAGCAATTTTAGTGCCACCCTTCTTTGTAGTAGCTCAGGTTATTGTCATCCAGACCACTGTGTCGGCACAAATTACGAAGAGCTAGCGAGAAGTGCGTTGGAAGTGTAGTTCCGCGATTGCGTCGAAATTTAATGTGCAGCATCTTCACGACAGCCCGGAATTCAACGTTAAATCAAATTTTTTGTTTGTGTTTATGCGATTGAAAACTATTTTGCGGCGCCTTATGAGAAGAAGATTGCTTTTTCCATAAAGGTGGAAGGGCTTGTTTTGGCATCCTGCGGTGGTCATCGTCATCATTGTTCCGCGTTAGTGTCTATAGCTAGACGAAGCCCCTGTCTAGCAATCTTTAATGTGTGCTCTCCTGCGCGAGTCGATTCCACGTTATGCCAGCAAGGCTTTAGTTTCGCAATTGCGCCTGGTTACAGTCTTCTTCAAGCCAGCTGCTGCTTTGGTGAAGACGAGTCCGCCCGTGGAAACAGCGGTTCCAGTTACTCAACGATTTCTCGTCACTTCGAAGTTCCGTGTTTCCTTAAGATTCAGTACGATACAAATGGAATCGTTCGTGCGTCTAGTTTGTCGGATAGACACAGGTTTCGAGGGATGGGTCGCTGGTTAACACTTTCATGATAACTCGTAACATCGAATATCCCACAAAGTGGGTGGGGAACCGACCGGTGCTTTAGCTCGAATGATAGAGCATCGGACACGTGATCCGAAGGCTGTAGGTTCGGTCCCCTGCGACAACTTGACTATTCATGCACTTTAATTGCTTTCAATTTGTGTCTTAATCACTATACTGTATAATTAAAAACATATAAATAATGTCCCTATGTAATGCTCTTGACTTATTTGTCCTTAAGTATCATTGGTTATGACTGAACGTGCAGTGAAAAAAAATAGGGCAATGGCATGAGTGGCTAGTTTTCTGTATTATACTCAACTAAAGACACCGACAGACAATTGATCCAAGGAAAAAAAAAGGGGGGGGGGCAATTATCTAGAGTTTCGTTACCTGTATTGTGTTGATTCTTTTTAAATTGAAAGAAATTAATGTGGACAAACGTTGTCCAGTAGTTGAAGTGCGGTAGTTAGAGTAACAATTAAACGTATTGAATAATAGCGAGTTTTTTATTGGGGCCCGTACTCGTATTGGGTCCCGAAAGAAATAGCGTCGACGCCACTGCGCATGCGCGAGACTCAAACAGAGTTTCGCATTGCGGACGCTGTTTGTCGAATTTAGCGGGGCCCCACAGCGTGCACCAAAAGATTTGCGTCAAGCAGACATGGAGTGGCGGCCCTTGGCCAGGACCAGAAGGACTTAGAATAGGGGGAGTGTACAATGCGCCGAAAACCCTATTAGAAAATTCTTCACTCCTGCTTGACCAGAAGCGTGCATATGCGAAGAGCTATGGGGCGTCAACCTTTGGAGCCCCGATTCGGAAACTGCCCGATGACTGTGTCTATGAGGTGCCCTTTAGGCTACAGGGTGACGTGCAGGATTGATGGTTGGTTCCTGCTAACTGTACGTGATTTGTGCAGGACTACAACGAGAAGCTCTTCTTCCGCGCGCTGAAGGAGTACACCGAGGAGCTGATGCCGCTGGTGTACACGCCCGTGGTGGGCGAGGCGTGCCTCAAGTACAGTCTCATCTACCGTCGTCCCAAGGGACTCTTCCTGACGGCGCAGGACGCGGGCAAGCTGTACGAAGTGCTCGGCAACTGGCCCGAAAAGCAGGTCGACGTGAGTATCGATAGCGTGGCGACGATGACGTCACGCAGAATGCTTCTCTGTAGTTAGCCCAAGTTTTTAACCAAGCCTATAGCCACTGGTCTTGATAAATGCAAAGCATTCGCTGGCGTCCGAAAAAAGACTGTGTGGTTTGGGAAGCTTCTCTATGACCTATGTTTCTATCATTAAACCCAACACAGCCTAGCGCTCTCTCCCCTGCCTCTTTCTTCACGTTTTCCTTTAACGTTCTGCATAACTCAAAAGGCCTTACCATCAAGTCAAATGTTCAACTCCAACCTAACCGTGGCCATGTGGTAGATAAAATGCGCAGTATTTATAGACGGTTCATTGAGGGCTATGATACGTGGGATAAGTCAATTTAACATTGCAAAATATTTATGCTATGACTTAACTTTGAGCTTTGCATAGCCACGGCCGGGCTAGAGGAGCGGCTCGCGCGCACTCTGCGCGCGTGTCGCTTCTCCAGCCCGGCCGTGGCATAGCCTAACAGGTCGAGAAATTCGACGCGTCCGCAGGAATATTCGCGACGACTGTACATTTGGCACGCGAGACAAACAGAACGCACCGGTATTGCTCAAAGTGCACATGAGCCATGGATCATGACACAAGAAAGCCGTGGTCATGAAATATCCACAAAATAATTTGTTTGAATCTAGAAGAAGGCGTCCGAAAATTTCTACCAATGAACATGTCCTGGGTTTCGATGTGCAAAAACCACGATGTAGTGATGGGGACCCAGCATTAAATTTGCTCATCTGGGGCTCATTTAACGTGCACCGAAATATAAGTACCCGGGTGTTGTCGCATTTCGTCCAAATGGAAATGCGGCCTTGGTGGGCGGGAATTGAGTCCTCGTCCTGGAGCTTAGCAGCTTGACACATTACGCGTTAAGCTACCATGGCGAGTGCGATTTAAAATTTGCGCTCAAACATGCATTGCGTTTGTGAAGAAAGCGACGCGGAGAACGTTTAGGTCGAAGAAGAGGTGCATGCAGGCCAACTCTTGCGAGTGGGGGGAGGGGCAAACACACACACACACACTATATATATATATATATATATATATATATATATATATATATATATATATATATATATTACCACCAGCACAGCATGCCCACGCCGGGGAAACTGAAAGCGGCGACCTCCGGAGGTGAGGCCGCTGTCACGCGAACCGACCAATACCCTCCGCCGCTGCCTTACGACGTGCCGTTAAAGCCTCTTTGTGAAACCGCCAACAGAACGTCCGCTGTCATTACCGTTTCCGTCGACTGTTATCCGGTTATCCGGTGACTGCGCTTGTCGACACGGGAGCTGATTACTCGGTGATGAGTGCTTCATTGGCCACCCGTCTACACAAGGTGCTGACAACGTGGGACGGCCCTCAACTAATTACCACTGGAGGACACCTCGTATCCCCTATAGGAAGGTGCCCCGCCAGGCTTGAGATTTGTGCGTCGGCTTTTGTAATGTCATTCCTTGTGCTGCCCAATTGTTCTAAGCCGGTCATTTTAGGCATGGATTTTCTGCAAGAGTATGGAACGATAATTCATCTGCGTGATTTGTTCGTCAGTTTTGCTAACTGTGTTTCTCCAGATTCCGACATTGATAACGAACATCGTGGCGTAGCATTATGCGTAGTTGATGATTGCGTCTCGTTGCCACCTCGCAGTAGTATCTCCGTGCTTGTTGAGTGTCCACGGGTGCCGTCGATTACGGGCATCGCCGAAAGTAGCCTGACGTCATTGTTTGATCGGGAAGTTGCCATTGCTCGAAGTCTCGTTCAACTCCAAAATGGCCAGACTACGCTTTTCGTTACGAACTTAAGTGGGGAATACAGGCATTTCGCGAAACGCACAACCATGGCTTACTTGGAGGCATTGGATGATTTGGACGCCTTCCCTTTGATTACGACGATATTGACTGAGAACAGCTGCGATACTGACGTGACTAGTCGACTCAACGTCAATCGCCAGTTAGAAGAACCTAAGAGGGCAATGCTCCTCAGTCTCTCTCACCCTTTAGTGACTGTTTTGCCACTACGTCGAAAGTCCGGCAGACCCCTCTAATGAAGCACAGAATTATCACTGAGCCCAAAGTCCAACCCGTGCGTCAACATGCTTGCCGCGTGTCGCAGAAGAAGCAGGATGCCATCCGTCATCAAGTGAAAGAAATGCTCGACGACGACGTAATTGAACCATCGACTAGTCCTTGGGTGTCACCAGTTGTTCTGGTTAAAAAGAAAGATGGTTCACTGCGATTCTGCGTGGACTACCGCAAACTTAACAAGATAACGAAAAAAGACGTATATCCTCTTCCTCGCATTGATGACTCCTTGGATCGCCTGCGACACGCCCGTTACTTCTCTTCCATGGATCTCCGTAGCGGATATTGGCAGATTGAAAAAAGATGAACGGGACCGAGAAAAAACAGCATTTATTACACCTGACGGTCTCTATAAATTTAAAGTTCTCCCTTCTGGACTGTGCTCCGCTCCATCCACATTCTAACGAATGATAGACACAGTTTTATGTGACCTGAAGTGACACTCATGTTTAGTGTATTTAGACGACGTATTCGTTTTTTTTTTCTACGACTTTTGAACAGCACACTGAGCGGCTTGAAGTGGTTCTTCTGGCTATTCGCACTGCTGGACTCTCTCTGAAACCTGGGAAATTGTTATTTTGGATATAAGGAACTCAAATTCCTTGGCCACATTGTCAGCAGCAGTGGTGTTCGCCCCGACTCTGAGAAGGCTATGGCAGTTGCTTTCTTCCCGATACCGAGAATAAAGCATGATGTACGCCGCTTTCTGGGCCTTTGTGCTTATTACCGCCGCTTCGTACCGAACTTTTCGAAAATTGCCGACCCTCTACAACAACTCGTCAAGGACGAGTCGCCTTCGTCTGGGGTCCCAAACAATCCGACGCTTTCCGCGACCCTCAACAACGCCTACAAACGCCGCCGATCCTTGGTCACTTCGACACCGAAGCAGACACAGAAGTCCGCACTGACGCGAGTAACCTTGGCCTCGGAGCTATTCTCGTGCAATATCAAGATGGCGTGGAACGCGTCATCGTCTTCGCTAGCCGCACGTTGTCATCTGTGGAGAAGAATTACTCGACGACTGAATAAGAATGTCTGGCGGTTGTATGGGCTATAACGAAATTCAGGCCCTACTCGTACGGACGCCCCCTAATTGTTAGTGAGAACCACTCTCTCTGCTGGCTAGCGAATCTGAAAGATCCTTCTGCCCGTCTCGTAAGATGGAGCCTTCGGTTACAGGAATTCGATATAACGATGGTTCACGAGTCTGGCCAGAAACACACCGACGCTGACCGTTTTTCCCGCGCACCTGTCGAGATCGCTGCTTGCTTCCGTCCGTCCATGCGTCCGTCTGTGTGACCGTCCGTGCGTCCATCCGCCCGTCCGTGCGTGCGTCTGTTCGTGCGTCCGTCCCTGCATTCGTCCATGCATCCGCCCCTGCTTTTGTCGTGTCCATCCGTCCGTGCAGCCATTCGTGCGTCCGTCCATGCATCTGTCTGTGGGTCCGTTCGTCCATCTACTCAACACTCTAAGTACCACCATCTCGCATCCTTTCATCACATATTCTTCGTATAGAAGCACTGCCATCGAGCGGACATTCCATGGACTGAATGAGAGGAGGCACACGCAAACTTTCTTACGACTTGCGCTTCGTGTCTACTTCCCACCTTTAACCACCCCGAGTTCATTGTATATACTAGTTCACTGTATTTATGACACTGTGGCTCAACGCCTTTCTAAAACCAAGGAGGTTACGCCCAGCGAGTATAACGTAGAAAACCTTTTTTGTCAGATAGTGCTCCATGTACATGCCAATGGCTGCTAATGGGGAATGAGAGACAGGAGAATGCGGCTTTTAGTTAACGCAGCGGCTTTTAGTTAACAACGCACAGGAGAAATCGCCCAGCGGCACCAACTTGCAGGTGAAAGCGTAAGACTGGTTACGCACTACGGCTACGACGAGGGACGAACGGGTGCCGCTTTAAGGAGCTTCGCCCCTAAAACCTAACGCGTGCTCTGACGTTTTGGTCGTGTGCTGGGCCGACCCGGTGGGCTACACTCGTGTGACATAATACCCTTTCCTTTCTTTTTTTCGTAATCCATGTTCAACACTGTGATGTAAAACTATGTTACTGTAGCGGAGCCATTTATGTATCCTCGCTGCTTCACAGGCTATCGTGGTGACGGACGGTGAGCGTATCCTGGGTCTCGGTGACCTGGGAGCCAACGGCATGGGCATCCCCGTCGGAAAGCTGGCGCTGTACACGGCGCTGGCCGGCATCCATCCCGAGCGGACCCTTCCCGTCATGCTAGACCTTGGCACAAACAACGAGGTACGCGCCGATTGGCTGGATACTGCTTTCTTTTTTTCTAGTCATTGACCGTCGCGCCTGCTCCTATGTGTACGTGTACACTAATTACTATTGGGCATGACTATGCATACAAATAGATGTGCACATGAAAAAAGTTCGAATAGAGAGGTAGCAGGCTGACAACGGTCACCGTGCGATGCCTGCGTACTTTTTATGGGAAGTGCGGAATAAAAATAGAAGCTAGAAACTGCAATCCCGGAATTTAATAGCAAACAAATAAGCGAATTAATGTGAATGCTGCATTATTACACTTACGATGAAGCGCTCCCATGCGCCCCATGTTCACAAGACGAGTCTTTATACGCCACTAAGTTGTTCGTGAGATCAAATTTCAAAATGCCCATGATTCAAAAAAATCCTTAATAGAGTTGCGAACAAATCCGTTAAATGTTGTGCCTGACCTACCTCACGGTGATTCATGCTTCGCAGCTACATGGAATCGATGGTTGCAAGCGATACGCGCCTTTGCTGCCGAGCTATAAAGTGCGTGTGAACTAGTGATGCCAGGTGACGCCTAAGAAAGTCCTGAGTTAGCTACTTAATTTTGGAGGCAGGGCATCCTAGATTACTCTCCCGGATCGGGATAAGAACGTGTTGGGTATGTGGGTAGTGACTGAAAACGGCTGGGTGCCGTATGGTCGCGGTGCCGCCTCGGCCCGTTACCGCCGTGCGGAGGCATCAAGGAAATCCCCCTTAGACGAATTGGCTGAAGAAGTGCCGTTTTGAATATGCCTTGAATCGACGTAGAAATGATTTGAATGCTATCACTTGCAGTCATTTGTAGCAAAAACTTAAGACGGCTGGGCGAGTTAGTACTATTGGATCAGACAACTGCTATAGTTGGTACGTATTCATTCTAAAATATACAGGGTGTGCAAACAAGGATGCGGTAAAGAAGTCATGACGCCATAAACTACTACTAACTACCAACACCAAGCGTGAATGGTATACACCGTATATTGTGACGTTGAGAGCGGCAAATCCAGGTCTTGCAGAGTGATTCCGCTAGTTTCCAACCACGACAGTGTACGGTGTCGCTGTACTTATACACGTATACGGTAAATCAGCGCTGCGAAAGTATCGTAATGTTGCAGCCATTAGTTTGAGTCGGACACCGGTGTGTCGCAGATTCTGCTGGCCGACCCGTACTACATCGGTCTGCGTCAGAAGAGAATCCGCGGTGCCCAGTACGACGACTTCGTGGACGAGTTCATGCAGGCGGCCGTCAAGAGGTGCGTATACAGCTGTGCATCCGCTTGTCGTACGAAACGTATATCCTTTCTAAACTCCGGTTTCTTTAAGCCACGTGCTGTCTTTTATAACACGTCACCACGCTCTCCTAGTTTGTGTCGGTCCTAGGCAAGAATTTGAAAACAAAAATGAAACAAAATCTTTATTTGCGGGAAAGACTTCGTTGCCACTAAAACAGGACAACGCCGCGTGGTCGGACCCCTCTGGCTCTCGTCCATCCTTTCAGCTCTCCTGACTTACCTCGCTGGTCCTCAAGGGCCGAGCTGGACAGCATTGCGTACCACCTCTCTCTGTTGTCCTATTCGGGCCGTTCCACGCGCTTTCCGCACAGCCGCAACGCACGTGCCGGGACCCTACCGCACGCAAGCGGGGGACAAATAAGCCGATTGGCGATGCTCTCTCACCCTCCGCAGCGTCGCCGATTGGCTTATTTGTCCCCCGCTTGCGTGTGGTAGGAGTCCCGGCACGCGCGTTGCGGCTGTGCGGAAAGCGCGTGGAAGTGCCCTTCCTGTTCTTCCGTGCGTGCCGTACATTTCCACGCGATGTGGTAGAGCGTGTGTGCTTCTACACCACGGGCGTATGTCTCTGCATGCTGTGAAGTAGCACGTATGCAATCTGTGAATGTTTATGTATGTGTTAGTTTGAGTCAGTGTAACGTCGCAGAATCCATGGCTGAAAGGTTCTTGTGTGGTGCTGCGTAATGTCTCCGTAAATCTCTGTAATATCGCAGGATTGTTTTGTAACTGGGATTGATGGGTGACGGGTCCTCCAAGATGTTGCCATGCGTCGGCAGCTCGGTAAAAAAAGAAAATATCGCAAAACCTAAGTTGTACAAGATATGTTGATAACGCACCTGGATTCTAGCCAGATAACCTAGTAGTGGATTCATTACATGAAACTGTATGCAACGAGGTGAAAGCAAAGGAACAAAATATGTAGCATGTGCATCATAAATGTCTGACCCGAGCAAATGTATAAAAAGGGATATTTAAAAGAAATACCATGAAATTGCACAACTATACATTTCTCGGCGCATCAGGGGCATCGCCATCAGCATAAGCTCGTGCTTGCTGCGCTTGGCCGGACGCTGCTGACTGCTTCGCTTTCTGCGTTCTGCGCTGCAAATAAACCCCGTTACAAGTGGTGGAGGTGCTGGGTTTCGATCACCCTGGAGCTTCGGAATCGCATTTTACCATCCACTATGCCTACCGACGCTCCAACTCCTCCATCGGCACCGCCTACCGTTCTCTGCGCCGGTTCTCTGCGTCTGCGAGATCCCCCTGTTTTCTCAGGCACAGAAGACAAGGGCGTTGACGACTGGATTTCAATGTACGAGCGAGTGAGTACTCACAACAAATGGGATGACGCCGCCAAGTTGGCATACGTCTCCTTCTACCTGTCGGACGTGGCCAAGCTGTGGATTATAAACCGCGAAGCAGAACTCCCTACATGGTCGGTCTTCAAAACGAGCCTCACACAAGTTTTCGGGCGGCCTGAGGTACGCAAACGCCGTGCCGAACAATGCTTACATACTCGGTCCCAGCAGCTTGGTGAGAATTTCACAAGCTATATTGAGGACGTTCTGGACCTTTGCAAGCGAGTCAACGAGTCCATGTCCGAAGAGCTTAAGATCAAGCATATCATGAAGGGCATTGAGGACGACGCTTTCCAAATGTTGCTTTCTAAGAGTCCTCGCACTGTCCTAGAACTGACCGAGTTATGCCAGAGTTTTGACGAGTTGCGCAGGCAACGTCTTTCCACCCGACGTCCCTCGGTGCTCGACAACTCTTTGTCCAGCCTGTCCACCCTTGGCATAGGAGAAGACCATGCCCCTCTTATCTCCAAGATCCAAGAGTTCATCCGCGCTGAGGTCGCTCGTCAGCTCTCTTTGATGTCCTGCGTACCCGATCAACCACGCAGATCGACGTCTACACTCCGCGACTTCATTCAAGACCAGGTCGCACAAGTTCTTCCTCCCGCTCGTGAACCGCCGCCAGTCGCCGCACCTCTCACGTACGCCGAGGCCGTTGCTCGACCTCAACAGCCTGTGTTCCAGCCAGCGCCTACGTATTCGTCGCCGCCCTTTTCGCCGCCTATCTATTCACCGTCGCCTGTGCCAATACCACCTCGGCCGCAGTTTTCTGCCTCCCAGCCGCAAGTCGGAGTCTACTCAGACCAATGGCGGACCCACGACAACCGTTCCATATGTTTTGCTTGTGGTGGTGTTGGCCACGTGGCACGTTATTGTCGTCGTCGCCAGGCTGCTCAGAACATTCGACGGATGCCCTCTTTCGACCCTCAGTTTTCTTCTACGCCTTCAAGCCCTCCTTCCTCTTCCTTTCCTTTTGATCATCCACACGGCCCGACCCGCCGCTCCCCATCTCCACGTCGGCGTTCGCTTTCCCCTATGCGTCGCCGTTCCGGACCCACCGACCAGGAAAACTAACGGCCGCAGTTCCCGAGGCACGAACTGCGTCCCCGTCGCCATGCACAAGTCCTCGCTCCTGTCCAGCTAACGTCATTGAAGTGTCAGTCGATGGTATCGTCGTCATGGCGCTTGTCGACACTGGAGCCGCCCTATCCGTCGTTTCCATCAACCTGTGCCGCAAACTCCGCAAAGTTCTGACGCCATTATCCGGCCTCTCTCTTAGAACGGCTAACGCACAAAGTGTAACACCTCTCGCAGCCTGTACCACACGAGTCGTCATCCAAGGGATTGTGTATATCGTCGAATTCGTAGTGCTGCCCTCGTGTTCCCATGACATGATACTCGGCTGGGACTTCCTGCGAATAATAATGCCGTCATTGACTGCTGTCGCGCTGAACTTGAGCTATCTGCACTTCCTGATGTAGACGCTGTCGAAGCCTCCCTGCCGTGTTATAAACTGTTTGTTTCCGACGACACCACCGTACCACCGCGCTCTTCTCTGCTGGTGACTGTGTCGTGTGACGCTATTTCAGACGGTGATGTTTTATTTACGCCCTCTGCCCTGTTCATTCAACGCAAATGTTCTCCACAGCCCATTGCTCTCCTTACTCTCCACCATGGCGTCACGAAGACGCTCGTGTACAATACGCTAGAAGGGCCTTTACCTTTATTCTATGGTGAATGTCTCGGTCACGTGCATCCGATCGACGCCCGTTGCATTTTTGACGCTCCATCTAGTTTACTTTCTACGGACCTCAGCGCACTCATTTCTGACTCTGTTGTTGACCAGTCACTCCTTGACGCTTTCCACCGCTCCATCGATGTCGCAACGTCTTCTTCAGAACGAAGCCAGTTAGTGAACCTGCTGCAAAAGTTTCGTACTTCTTTTGACAGCCACGCTTCTGACCTCAGTCGCACATCGAACATATCTCACAAGATTGACACAGGAAGCCATACGCCTCTACGGCAGCGCCCCTACCGAGTCTCAGCGTCGGAGCGCCGTGTTATTGACGACCAGGTTGCTGACATGCTCCAGCGGGGTATTGTACAGCCTTCTAACAGTCCCTGGGCGTCACCGGTCGTTCTTGTTAAGAAGAAGGACGGCTCGATTCGGTTCTGTGTGGACTATCGACGTTTAAACAAGATCACCCGCAAGGACTTTTACCGGTTACCGCGAATAGACGACGCCCTTGGCTGTTTGCAGGGAGCAGAATACTTCTCTTTGCTGGATTTATGGTCTGGATACTGGCAAGTTCTTATGGACTTAAGCATCTGACCGACCGAAAACAGCATTTGTCACACCTGATGGGTTATACGAGCTTACCGTTATGCCTTTCGGCCTTTGTAACGCTCCAGCCACTTTTGAAAGAATGATGGACACTATTTTACGAGGCCTCAAGTGGAACACATGTTTATGCTACCTCGATGACGTAGTTGTCTTTTCCACCGATTTCGACACCCATTTAAATCGTCTCGAGCACGTCCTCACACGTCTCACCGACGCCGGCCTTCAACTCAACCTCAAGAAGTGTCGTTTTGGGGCCCGGCAGCTCACCATTCTTGGCCACGTCGTATCGCGGGACGGCATACTTCCTGACCCCGCCAAGCTTCGAGCAGTCGCTGATTTTCCGAAGCCAAAGAACTTGAAGGAACTTAGAAGTTTTGTCGGCTTGTCGTCATACTTCCGACGCTTTATTAGAAATTTTGCTTCTGTATGTGCGCCCCTTACTTACCTTCTGGTCACGCATTCGACGTCGTCACTGACCACCACGCCCTTTGTTGGCTATACACACTTAAAGACCCTTCCGGACGACTTGCTCGCTGGGCGCTCAAACTTCAGGAATACGACATCCGCGTTATTTACAGATCTGGTCGTAAGCACACGGACGCCGACGCCCTTTCTTGCTCACCCATATCGGATGAAGGCGTTTGCCTCTCTTCCCTCGAGCCTGCACTTGCGTCATCCGCCTTGCGCAACATGACGGTGGAACAACGAAAGGATCCCTGGATCAGTGGCCTCATAAGCATTCTTTCTGATCCTCTCACTCCTTCGCCGTCTCGCGCTCTCCGCCGCCAGGCTAGCAACTTTTGCCTAAGGGGTGATCTTCTTTATCGACGCAACTACCTTTCTGACGGTCGCAAGTGTCTCCTTGTGATACCCCGCCATCTTCGAGCTGCTATCTGCGAAGCTTTTCACGCGGACCCACAGTGCGCCCACCCAGGCCTCTTCAAGACATACGCTAGGCTTCGACTCAGATTTTATTGGCGTGGCATGTATAACTACGTGCGGAAATTCATTCGCTCGTGTGCTCAGTGCCAACGACAAAAGTCACCTCCCAGGCAAGTCTACCCGTCACAACCTCTTCCTTGTCCTAGTCGACGTTTTGATCGCGTCGGCATTGACATTTACGGACCACTACCATCAACTCTAGCTGGTAATCGCTGGATTATTGTTGCGATAGACCATCTGACACGCTATGCCGAAACAGCCGCGCTGCCGACTGCCACAGCCCGTGACGTTGGAACGTTTCTGTTGCAACGTTTCGTTCTGCGTCATGGTGCCCCTCGCGAGGTCTTAAGTGACAGAGGCCGTGCCTTCCTTTCTGACGCCTTGAAGGCATTACTCAACGAATGCCGAATCGTGCACCGCACAAGTACAGCGTACCACCCTCAGACTAATGGCATGACGGAGCGCTTCAACCGTACTCTTGGCAGTATGCTGTCGATGTACGTCGCCTCTGATCATTCAAATTGGGACCAAGTTCTCCCGTTCGTCACCTACGCGTATAATACCGCCGTACAAGCTACTACTGGGTTTTCGCCATACTTTCTTTTGTACGGACGAGAACCTTCAAATACAGTAGACACTATTCTTCCATATAAACCTTATGAGTCCGAAAGTACAACTCTGTCCGAAGCTGCCCGACATGCTGAAGAATGCCGCCAGCTTGCTCGCTCTTTTTCTACCGAGGACCAGTGGCAGCAGCAATCCCGCCAGACTGGGGACCGTTCGGCTCCAAAGTTTCCACCTGGTTCATTGGTATGGCTTCGGGCACCTGCTACCGCGCCTGGCGGCTCCGCAAAACTTCTTCCCAAATACATCGGGCCATACCGTGTTGTAGAGCAAACGTCACTCGTCAACTATATCGTGGAGCCCATCATCCTATCCACAGACCTACGCTACCGCGGCCGCGACACTGTCCACGTCTCTCGTCTCAAGCCATATTACGACCCATTAGTCGTTTGTTCTCCCTAATTCGCCAGGATGGCGTCTTTTTGTGCGGAGGGCGATTGTCGTGAAGAAGAGGAGCTTCAGCGGCATTTCTCGGCGCATCAGGGGCATCGCCATCAGCATAAGCTCGTGCTTGCTGCGCTTGGCCGGACGCTGCTGACTGCTTCGCTTTCTGCGTTTTGCGCTGCAAATAAACCCCGTTACAATATATATACATACATATATATATATATATATATATATATATATATATATATATATATATATATATATATATATATATATATATATATGTGTGTGTGTGTGTGTGTGTGTGTTAGTGTGTGTGTGTAAGTAGACTGGTTGATGACAATCGACAAAGGAGAACATGCATCTTTTTAGTTCAGTGATCCTAACTTGACCACTGATCTAGGTAAGAAATATTATTGGTACAAAGGTTGTTAGAACCGTAGATATTTAATATAACAGCGGTGAGCTGGCTAAAACATTATGCTGAATGATTTAAAAAGTGTTAGTTATTTTAATTAAACTGGATGAAAAAGAGAACGCTGACGTATTGTGCTATGTTCGAATTCAAAGATAAAACATATCGTCATGAATTCGCTCCGTAAAGAGGGAATGTTTAGAGCTGATTATACTTTGTTCGTACATACCGCAGTCCTGTAAGAGAGCATTTACAGAGATGGGATTATACAGTACTGAACGTAAAGAGAGTAACAAAGGAGGAGACGCTTCTTTAAATTCGCAAATCACGTTAAAGAACCCCAGGTGGTCGAAATTTCCGGAGCCCTCCACTACGGCGTCTCTCATAATCATATGGTGGTTTTGGGACGTTAAACCCCACACATCAATCAATCAATTCGCAAATCAAATTCGCAAAAGTTGCACGTAGTGGAAAGCTTGGGTGACATTGCCACAGCGGTAGCAGCGTTGCGAAAATGTTTGGTATGCACGTGTCTATTCTTTGCGAAACTGAATCAGCACTGCTCCTTTCTAACAGTGGGATAGGAAGATATTACAGGGCAGGCTAGAAACAATTATTGCAAGCTGACATTTACAACAAAAACAAGAAAAAAAAATACTCACGACCGTTACAGCAAGCCTTATCTGTGTAGATAGCATGGCTGAGTGCCTATAAATGATACCGTTGTCGCTGTGCTACACTGTATCACATTCGGATCATTGTTTTCTTTCTTTTCTGTTTTCTTATGCGTATTTAAAGGCGATGTTGGCTATTTTTGTTTTTCTTTTTTCTGTGATTCGCTCCGTGAGGTGCTCTACATGGTAGCGCACATTAATGGGGCGCGTGCAGCGCGGCTGCTATTCTGCGCTGCTAAAAGGAGCGGAACCACGCTTTGAAGTGCCTTCCCGCGGAAAATGGACGTTATAGCGTCCGCTTTCTGCGCACACTGTGCAAAGAAAAGCGGCTCCTCAATCTACTCACTGTCATGCAAGGAACGTACTGCAGCGCATTGTCAGGCATAATTAACTATACTGTAATGCAATGAACAGTGTTTGAAAAATTACACGAACGGCAGTGAGCTAAATGTAATTACTTCACCTCCAAAAGGATAACCTGCAGGTGATTGGGTTAGAAATGATCTTTGAGCGAACCATGTGTGAGTTACAGATATTGGTGGCAGCTCCGTATAGTTTGCGATTGATTGATATGTGGGTTTTAACGCCCCAAAACTACCGCATACCCTATAGTTTGCAAGGAACCCGGACGCCGGCTGATGTAGAAGAAATGCGTGTGCAAACACAAATAGAAGTGTCTCGCGCGAATTTCCATGCGTCGTTCTCCTGTAGCTGATGATCCTCTCAATCGTTTCATTTCATGTATTTCACCCTCAGGGACGTAAAATTATGAAGGGGAGTGGTAAGAAACAGTATTAAATAAAAGCAGGCATTAAAGTAATTAGTAATAATGCTTATTTTTCCATCAGTGCAAAATATAATGATGGAGGGGGTCGAAAAAAAGCGACAATCTGCTTGCCGGAGTTCCCCTTCCGTGAAGGTAGCGCAGCAATGGGACACAGTTCATACGCAAAATACTCTTCTATACTGTTTTACAATAACAGTGATATGTATTTAAACTAGCGTGACAAAAGAAAAAAACAATGAAAAGTAATAAACACATGCAGAGCATTACAACTTGCTCTTAGGAAAAAAATCATACATGTACAAATAACTCTATATAAACACACATATATGCACACACGCGCGCGAGCATGCAGTCACACAAAAATAACTATACGTAATCGCGCAAATGTTGTCAATAACAAACAAACAAAAAGAGAACGCACTGTCAACTGCTGTATAGAAGAACGTGTGAAGAACAGTCGTTTCTGATTTCTTTGTGCTAGAACTTTGCGTATTCCTAGGTTATTGCTTTCCAGAAAACCAACACGCATGTCGATAAGCCAATAACATGAGCGTAAATGCGCGTCAATGAAAAGACACCAACAAACACTACGGCCTATGGGTGGTCTGCCGTCTTCATGTGAGATTATTGAGGTCGCTATTTATATGACGTTGTTGTTGTGGATTCGTATTGGTTCTGCGACGCCACCAGAGATGGCGCTGTGATCTATGTACCTGTTTGTCGTGTATATAAGTCCACCGTACAATAAACACCGGCAGTCGTCGGTAGCCCATGGCGGCAGTCATGTGTACGAGTTCCTTCCTCTCTTCCGTGATAGCGGCTCACCACGCCGCAATACCACAGTTGTCACGCATCAATCTTGCCTAGATGTGAGCGAAAGACCGTCTTTGTTGCCTGTAGCAACAAAGTCGCGCTTTGCTAGGTGCATGTATGATTGGTGGATTCGCGGTAAATAGGAGCGGAGAAATGGGGAGGGAGCAGTGCGCAATTTGAAAGAAATAGTGGGAGAAAGGGCGAAAGAAAGGAAGGAAGTAATAAAAGAAAGAATGAATAAAAAACGTAGCTGATTCCTCTGTATATAGTCTGTATAACACGAACGTGAAATGTCTGTTCACAGGAGGAAGCTGAGCATTCATTGTGCATTCTTTCGCAACAAGGGTGAAAGAAAGGGTGATACAGCATCAAATTGTAATGTCACGTGAAGATAGGTGAGCTGCTCGAAGCTAGCAGAAAGCGCGCATGAAAGGAGCGTACATGAGACGAACGCGGACAGTCATCACAATTCTTAATTCATCATTTGTGAGCAGTGCTGTATTTTTGTAAACGGGGCCGCGGCAGTGAAGAAAGCGACCTTCTTGTTCTCTCCCAATCACGAGATAAGCGCGCACTGCACGAGAGACCACGCCCACGCGCACCCAACGGGATGCAGTTCTCGCCATCTCGCTACTGATCATGAAAACGCGCTGAAGATGTGAAGCTCCGAGGATAGCCGAACGGTATATGGCGTACATAAATAGCTTGCCACTAGCAAGCTGGACAACGTACTATCCGTGGCCTCGTTGTCTTGCGCCGTGTGCTGTGGAGCGAGAGGTCGTAGGTGCGACGCCTGGCAAGGAAACTTTTTTTTTCTCGTTTCTTCTTTGCGGTCTGTTAGTACTTGTTTATAACGCCATATCCGTGACGGAAACATGTAAGCAGAGCCGTGGTGGACCCCTGCATCAAACAGTTTTGTGTTGAAAAAACGACAAAAGACAAGAACAAAGAAAATGAATAGTAGGTCCGGCTGTACTAAAAGGCTCACTTTCCTCAATTTTCTGGTAGGAAAAAGGCTTTAAATTTTGATTATACAAGTGGCCGACTGGTCGTTGCCCGTTGGCACGCATTTCTAGCATTAGTTGGGTGAAAAAAAAAGCCCTTAAGTAAATCAATGAGCGTGCAAAACTGGTGACGTCCATGCCCCCTTGAGGCAGACTATAACACATTGCGTTTGGTTTGCGATCGCGCCTGAAACGTGCTTAAGAGTACTAGGGCAGCCAAGCTTTCTACATTGGGAATATACAATACGCTGTAACTTTTTTGCAATCAAGTTGTCTTGTTTTTAATCCTTATTGGTCTGTAGACTAAAGCATTCGTTTCAGTTTGAAATATTGATAATAATTATTGCTTGGGTTTGACGTTCCAGAAACACCATATGATTACGACAGACACCGCATTGGGGGGCTGCGTAAAATTCTGACCACCTGGGGTTCTTTAAAGTGTTTGTAAATCAAAGTACATTGGCCTCAAGCATTTCTGGCTCCATCGAAAAGGCGGCAGCCTCGATTCAATCCCGTGACCAGCGGCTCAGCTGTTGAGCGGCATAACTGCTAGACACCTGTGGTGCGGTTCGTTCCACTTTGGTTCGTGATCGGTTATGCCTTTTCCAGGTTCGGAAAGAACTGCCTAATCCAGTTCGAGGACTTCGGCAACCGAAACGCCTTCAAGCTTCTCGCCAAGTACAAGAACAGCTACTGCACATTCAACGACGACATTCAGGGTGAGGGGAATATAGACATGGCGTACAATGCCATGTTCAGGGTTCTTAAGGGCTAATTAAATGATTATGAAATGATGACGATGAATGAGCGAAACAAGCTCTGCACGTTTCCAGGGTGTTTAGTACGTTGATTGAAGACTCATTTCTTCATTAATTCGCAACAAATCTTCACTCGCTTACAATTTAAGTGCCATTACCTTAACAACAAATGATTAAAAACACTGCTAAATATATGTGAGAGACAACAACATCAGTTTGAAACCTACGATTACAATGATGATACCAGTTCACTGAGAAGCCAAAGCGTTCACCTTCACTAAATACAAATTACTATGTAGAAGTACATTTGGTGCTTCTTACGAAATAAAAGTTATGTAGTAAGTGACAGTCGGATGCATTATGCTAAACAAACAGCAACACTTATTTTGCAATTTTGCAATATCTCACATTAGTGACCACGATGACATTTAGTATGAAAAAGATGTCAAAGTGCGATAGCTTCATAGAAGTACAGGCAGAACAGTGCGACGCTTTACAGCTACAAATATGCTCTCGGATAATCGACAGGAGTGTTCCAGTGAATTGTCAAAGTCGACAATCATGCCGCTCTCCTTAAATAGACACGAAAAATCAAAACGGTCTTTTGCATATTAGTGCACTACAATTTCGCAATCTTGAAAACACAACTCTTACCACGGCAGGACTCTTAGTAAGCGAAACAACTCATGAAAAGAAAATATTGGTGGAGACAACACCTCGAGATTCCTGCACCAAACATCATGAAATTATAGATTTTGGAGCCGTCTGTTGGGTTCTATGAAGCTTCCAATCACTACAAATAAAGTTAATTGTCATCAGTGACTGCCATAAACCTGGCATAAAAAGATTCTTAAAATATCACTTAGCCAACGTCGCGAAAATACGAAAAAGGTCGTTCTAAAACTTCGAACGTCATGCGCGGAGATTTTGGCATGAAATTTAAAAATGAAACTTCAACCTTGATTTTCTCTGCTAATAATGAACCTATAGTAAAACATTTGGTGTTAGTGTTATCAGAGTGCAGGTCGCCAATTTTAACCAAGTCATTCTTCCTCTTTAGTGTCCCTTTAAACAGTGGGGTAACCAACCCCTACCTTTTGTGCGCACGCGTGTTTCGCTGCGCTTACTCCTGTTAGCCTTTACTATGTTCGATCACCATGCACCTGCCAACCGCGTAAGGTCCTTCAAGTGTCGAAAATACAGCGGTCATTATTAACTCTTTAGGTTTTCTTACGCATCGCAGGTACCGCATCGGTGGCTGTGGCCGGTCTCCTAGCAAGCATGCGCATCACCAAGACACCGCTGTCTTCCAACAAGATCCTCTTCATGGGAGCTGGAGAGGTAAGAACGGCTGCTCCTTTCGCTCGGCGCACGTGCCACTTTCGCTCACAACCAACGTGCTGCTGTGCGTGCTTTTTCATTGTGTCATACAGGGTTGTTTCGAGAATAGAGTTTCCTATAAATACATTAGAAAAAACTCTGGCGCTAGTGTCTATGGGAGCTGCAACACACGTTGCTTCAGCGAGAATGAGAATGACGGGTAGCACACTAATTTGTATAATCTTCTCGCTTTCGGTTCCGTTTGCTTTCGCTTGGCTTGGAGCTGCTTTGTCACGAAACGACAACCAGCAAACGTTCAGCAATTGCACTTTTAGGCCCACCAATATCAATCTTCACACGTGGTTCACCGTGGTCCGTTCTTTTATTCGAAACAGTACCAGTAAACAGCAATAAACAGAGCTACAAGTGCACTTGAAGCCCGCAAGCATGAAAAGTATGCTAATTTGTGCCCTACCGTTATTCCCATGATGCCCGAATAATCCCAGTGCCCGATTTCCCTCTATAGCGTGCAGCTTTAGGAGTCAGTCGCGTTTCCTCCTCAAGAGCGGATGCATACAAGGCTGCACCAATGGGGGTGTACTCCAAACTGACGTAGTGAGCCGGACGGCCATTGACGTCTCCAGCAGAGAACGTTGCCGAGACCAAGAGCGGGACTATTTGTTTAGGTGCTGAGGTGATCGGCTGCTGCGATTCGGTCGTCTGGCCGGGGCCTCTGCTGATTTCCAGAGTTGTATTCGACTATAGTTAATTATAGAAGACTCTATGCGTTGCTGTAACGGTGTGCCATTATTACACAGTTATATTACGTTTCTTATTAGCAATTTGCAGGCGGTGTTCATAGCACACGCTCTAATTGGAGCCAGCGCAAAAGTGCCAGGCAAACGGGGGTTCGTCGGAGCCGGAAGTGTAACCTTCCTGCACGCTGAAACTACTTGTCGTCGCCTGTGACTACAGCTGCTTTAGGCGATGTTTTAACTTGTACTTCCACGTTGTTCTTGCTTCTCCAGTCCCCATATCTTCAAAGATCTACGCTGAAGCACACAAGAAATAAAAATTGTTGGAACCGATTTGCGGCTATCACGAGCGAACAATTCTGACTGTTCTAGTTTCCATCCATGCTCCTTCTTAGTTATTTTTCCCCTCGTACCCTTTCTCTTCGGAACCGCTACTAGACAATATACGCAGGCGCATTTTAATAACTTGTTGTCTCTTTCTTGAGTTCGCTTCTTTCTTACTCATTTCTCTCTATTTATTCAGTCAGGATGACCAGATACGCTAAAAGACACCATGGAGTGTGTAGAAACGACTAAAAGACACCAGTGTGTCTAAATTTCCATCATATAATTTTGTGAACATAAATTTGGATGCACTAGTATCTTTTAGTCGTTTTTACACACTGCTGTCTTTCAGCGTCTTTGGTTTGTTTCATCTGAAGACACAAATACGATCACATCTTTGTGCATACGTCGTGTCGTCCCTTGTGTCCTAATGTGGCCCACCCACAGGCCTCCCTGGGCATCGCCGAACTACTCGTCATGGCGATGGTAAAAGAGGGTGCCACTGAGGCTGATGCCAGAAATAGCATCTGGATGCTCGACTCCAGAGGACTCATTGTCAAGGTGAGAAATCGTTTTTGTTGGCTAATCAGTTCTTATTTTCGCTCTTAATTTCACGCATGTGTGTGCTTTCTAATCCTCTATATCCATTGACGACATGCCGCTAACTTTACTAACGATGCTCAAAGCGATAGGGCCAAGAAAAGAAAAAGTCTCTTTTCAAACGCATTTACTCGTAAAAAGTGTTCATGCTTTTTTACGATAAGCTCTTGCTGGCCGGAACTGTAATTTTCTATTTAGTAGAGAAATGAATGCTTGACATTTAGAAAATGTTTTCGTAATGCACATGAGCACTTTAGTCTCGCCTTGAGAACCGAACCGAACTTCTTCTAAGCAAGTCTTGATCGATCCATATTGAGCCGGATGAATAATAAACAACTTTTGGGCACGTGATTTCCTGGCTTTTGATGCCCGATCATTCGGGACGGCATTCGGCAGCGAAGTATACAGTGTGGTGGGTTTGTAGACGCAGCGCATAGCACAGACTTTCTGATGTTGTTGTGATAACAATTATACGCGTAGGGGCACTCAGGCGCAATTTCGCCGTCGCCGTGAGGTCCCGTGTTAAGTTGGAGCTGCGAGGACATCGGCGCGCGCCTCGTACGTTCTACGTGCGAATGAAAGCGCGTGAGGGCAGCATCTTAACGCTGCTCGAGCGAATTTCACGCGTCGTTTTATCTCCCGAATCGCCCATGGTGTTGAAGCAATAGACGGCAGGAAGATGCTCTCACCGATCAGTTCGTGTTGAAGCGATAGACGGCAGGAAGGGGACTTCGCTCACAGCAGCGGCCGCGTTCCTTCATGTCGGCGTTTTGTTGAGGTACACCAGGTTGTATGCTAAAGCAGGTAGTTGCTAACGTTACTCCGCATTACGCTGTAATTTGTTGTTATCGCACGCACTGCTTCGGCCATGCAGCAAAAACGTGACTTCTCACAGGAATAATTTTTCGTTTCTTTTTCTCTTTTTTTGTTGTACAGAACCGTCCACCAATCAAGGTAAGATGAAAAACCCGGAGGTTCAGTCAATATATGTACATACCTGTTGTTTATTACAAGAGCGTGGTTGGATTGGACAGCTTTCGCGTGATTTAATTGCGGCAAACACGGTTGCGAGTGAATGCACTTTACGAAGCACTCGCATGAAGTCAGTGAAACAGAGGACAATTAGTGGGCAGCATATAACGTCCGAAAACTGCAAATTGGTGCACTCAATGCTGCGCGTCTAGTTCAAAGTGCTATTCTGTAAAATTTTCGGACCCGCAACAGTGATACTTAGCTCAAGGATTTTTTTCGTTCAAGCCGGCGTGTAAACAAACCGCTGGTTGGTTGTATTCGAGTGATTAAGAAAGGGAAAAGAAGACAACCACCCTGCCTTCTTTCCCTTTCTTAACCCTTTTGCCACCTTGCGGGTTTCCGCAGAACTCATTTGCTATAGTCGAGTAATTGTTTCCCTATTCGCATTGACAGTGATGACTGACACCGATAAATCTTTATTGCAAATAAAAAGTGTATCTTTTAAAAGAGCTTCCGGTACGTGAGACATCCCGTAGATGACACACGTGCAGACTCCCGATAGGGCGCGTGGCTACGGACGCTCTTGTCTACAGAGCTGATACCTCACGTAAAGCTGTGTTCACACGACAGACCAAATCGAGGTTTGAGGCGGTGGAATTCGTACGACATTACCATACGTCAGCCGTTCCCGCGTTCCCGCTTCAGTCCACGCGGACCAATTCCTGAAACAACGGAAGCCCAAACTACTGTTGGGATCCTCGGAGACCTATGGCGAAATCCTCGTTTGCAGCGTGAATTCTCCCCTGTCGTGTGAATGCTGGCTGTGGAGGGATCTGAATTACGCCAATTGTCACATGACTGATCCGTCTGTGATCACGTTCGTCGTGTGAATACAACCGTAGCTGCAAGCGTCCGTTCGTGCTTGAATTATAGCGCAAGGCCCATCATGCGGTATGCCCATGCTAGCTATCATTACGGCGTCGTTTTTGCATATGTCGGTAGAAAACGGCAGCTGAGTGAGTGAGTGAGTGAGTGAGTGAGTGAGTGACAACTTTTATTCATCGAAAGAGTGAGGGATGAGGGAGGCTAAGTGAAGTAGGCTTCCCGGCCGTGCCTCTCGATCACTGCTTGCGCCCGTCCCAGGATCCGTGTTTGGATGTCATTGTCTGTGCTGCAAAGAAGAACCTCCCATTGTTCATCGGTAGGGGGTGGGTGGAAGAATTCGGGGGGCGGGGGATCGCCCGGGCAGCCCCAGAGGATGTGGTTCAGTGAGGCCATACCTCGGCAGAGGCAGCAGCGTGGATCGATGTCTGGGTAGATGTTGGAAAACACGAGATGGCACGGAAAGGTGCAGGCCTGTAGGCGACGCCAGGCGACCTCAGAACGCTTGGGAAGACTGACGTGGGGGGCTGGATAGGTGTATCGCTCGAGGCGGTAGTGCTGGGTATTGTCGTGGTAAGTGACAAGGGGCTCCGGCACCGGGCCGTCCCACTCTGAGGGGCCTGTCGATCGGTAGACGAGTCCTTGAGCGTGTTGGTGAGCTGCCTCATTGCCTGGGTGACTCGAGTTGGCGGGGACCCAGATCAGTTCGACATGGCGCTGCTCCTTTTGCTGCAGTAGCGGACGAAGGAGTCGTAGGGTAGTAGGCAAGACAAGACCTCGCGAGAAATTCGAGATGGCTCGTTTGGAGTCGCTGAGTACACCGCGAGCGTCGGCCGAGGTCGCAGTCAAAGCGATGGCCGCCTCCTCCGCTTCGGCGGCGTAAGGTGTTCGAAGAGCGCCGGCCACGATTGCAGGCACAGAAACAGAAGGCGCTGAGGAGGGCGACACGGAGACGACTACGAAGGCGTCTCTGGATGAGTTGTAACGGGCCGCATCCACGTATATAGGCAACGGCCGGGTAGACAGCGTAATTGGCGTGAAGCATGGTCGCTCGGGCATGGCGGCGAGCGTCGTGGTGGTCCGCGAGCATATTCCTAGGCAGCGGATTGATGCAGAAGGCCATTCTAACAGCATGGGGAAATGATACCAAATCCGGAGGTTGGGAGGAGGTGTTGTGGCCAATAGGGGAAATGATGTGGCGACCGGTTGGTCAACGGTATCGGCGTTGCACCTGAGCGGAACGGTGAGCCTCAATCAACTCGTCGAGGGTGTTGTGTACACCAAGGCGTAGAAGACGATCCGTAGAGGTGTTGGGGGGAAAGCCGAGATGAAGCGGCCGGCGACAAGTGCACGCGTGATTCGGTTTGTACACGCCTTCCCGCTCGAGCAGCATGCAGGGAGAGCGGTGTCTGGTTTAAGTGGCTGTAACCATGGTTTATAAAATATGTTGTAGTGTATACCTCAGTACGCGCGCGCAAGTTGCACACTGGTTATCGCCTAGCAACGGGCCTGATAGAAACGGAGACGCGGGAGGTGCACGTCTGCATGCTTTATTTATATGTCACGGTATGTTACTCATGGCGCTAAATAAAGATGATGGACCTGAAAAGGTCATTTCATGGAAAGCATGGACGATAACGGTGAATTCCGACGTCCAGCCAAAGTAATCTAAAACGCGTTCGACATTACTAAAAGAAAGGTGCGTTTGAATGCGTATATATGGGCAGTGGGGATATTTAGGTATCGTTCGCAGTTTTGTGGCGTAATTTCGAAGAGCACTGAGCTGCTTGGTGGGACATCTTTGGGGGTATTATGTGGGTCTATACTTCCAATCCGGCTCATCAGATCCGTAGAACAGATTGTAAAGCTGCTTAGCTTCTATAATGCTCGTTGTCATCCAGAGTTGCCATCCAGCAACTCTGTTTTACCGGCTTTCTGCCCTCCTATAGTAGAGTACATCGTACTCTAAATCGTTACCCACTTTTTTAAACACACAGCTAGTAGATTTTGTCATGCGGCCTCATCAAGCGTGAGGCCCACGGGACGGCTTTCAGCTCTCCCATAGTAAACTATACCGAGTACTCGAAGTCGTTAACTACTTTTTCTAAACACTGTGGATGCGTCCTACACAGATGCATTCGTAATTAGAGTAAGGATTGAAGGCGATTGCATTATAATGAAAACACCGGTTCGCTTGGATGCTCGCCGACTGCATCCTGGTTCACGACGTATTCACGAACACTCGTGCACAGCCATAAACAAACGGCTGCGGTATGCGCGTAAAATAGACTCGCTTATAAGCACGCTTGTAAGCCTATGAATACCTTTGCGCTCATGATTTGCTTCATGTCCGTGGCCCCTGCAGGATCGCGCCCCGAACGGCGACAGTACGCAGTCTCACAAGGAGAAATTCGCCAAGGACGCCAAGCAGATGAACAACTTGCTCGAGATCGTGAAGTTCGTCAAGCCTACCGTTCTCATCGGTAAGACCCGATTCGGGACTGTCTTCACGAACGCTGTGTCACCGTATTTCGTACATATACCGGAAACGAACTTGTTTCGTGCTTGTGAAATATTGCTTTACTGTATATTGTTTTCAATGAGAGAGTGAAGGGCTCGAACATGTTACGACGCGAGTTCGAGAAGAGACACGCACAAGACGACGGCTGCACTTTCAAATAAAGGACCAACCGCAGTGATCCTTCCAACATACACTCTAACGTGCTCCCTCACCATTAGTTTTCGCTTTAAAGCCGTTTCACATTACACAAAAAATCACAACATATCCACGGAGTGAACGATGATGAATGGGGTGAAACTTCGGATGGTTTTTTTTTTCGGTAGACCGAGAATCTTCTGTCTGTCTGTCTGTCCGTCCGTCCGTCCGCACCTGCTGAGTGAGTCATACCACAGCCTCCTAGATTTCCCTTGCTTGCCGGATTATCGGCGGTCCCTTGGGAAGCGGCTGTCGTCGGAACTATAGTGGTGGCGCCACTTAAGTAGGAGTGTCTTCAAATAATTTTTTACGTTTTTGGAGCTTATATTCAACAAAAATATTGTAGAAATGTTTTAAAAATGCGTAAACGTAACTAAAATCAACCCTACATAAGTGACGCCGCCATAGATGACAGGCGTTTCATGATCATTCAGCAGGCAACCCCTTCAAAACAAGACATAGGCTCCGAAATTAGCAAACGGCAAAATTGCTGATCTCAAAGGCCAAGTATACAAAGACCCTTACCCCTACGTAGGTAGCGCCGCCATAGATGACGAGCATTTCGCGCTCATCCGGCAGGCAAGGGAAATCTAGAAGGCTGTGGTCATACACTAAGCGGTCACGTACCAGGAGAGACATGCATGTACAGACCCACGGCTTAAGTGGCAAAGAAGTAGAGATATTTAGGCTGCGAATTCGTTCGCAGCAAAAAAAAAGAAAAAAGGACAGTTCGATCCCGCCGCAGAGAGTTGCTAACATAATGGAAATTTGTCGCTCTCATTGCAGCGACTAAGTGATTTTTGGATCGGGACCCGCCGAAATAGAGCCGGGCCGGCCAAGCTGTCGAAATTGCGTTGACGTCTGTTTTGGTAATGACCGATGTTGTGCGTTTTAAAACAGATTGGAAAGTGTTTTTAAATGTTGGAACATGCGTGCTCTTTCGTTACCATTCATGAAAACCTAATTATATCATAATGCACAGATTGTTACATTACATCTGAAAAATGCTACAGTGTGCACCTCAAAAAACGGCGGCAAGAAACGTTAGTCACAAGAGAGAAATAGCGAAAGCATTTACAGTCCATGTGAAACAGAACCGTCATCAGCAGCGGTTGTCAAGAGCGCGAATGAAGGGAACGGTAGGATTTTTTTTCTTTGCAATGGCGGCATATGAAAGAGCCGTGATTGCAGAGAAAAAGCCCCGGTCATACCACATGCTAGGCCGGGCCTTAACTCGTGCGCTACAAGGTGAAATTATGGTTTCGTAGAATATTGAAATTCATTATCTGTGAGATTCGTAAGATAATGAAATTCATTATCTGTGACGCACATTGCCTAAGTTCTTTTAATCAACACGTACGATAAGATTACCGAGCGGTACTGTCTCTTGGCGAAGCTCGCGTGTTCCCGCCGCCGTGGAACGTTCGGAACGAAGGCTAGAAGTGACGTACACGGCCCCTACGAGTTATATATTTTTGTAACAATATATCACTTGGTGCTTCTGCGGCGACTACAGAAGCGACACCTTCCAATTTTCCTGGCATTCCGGTGTGCGCGCAGTTCAAGGGAGCGAAAGCGCAGGCTGGCAGGTTTTAAAAGGATGCTCTTGCGCAGTGCGCGCTCGCAGCCGTGAGAAGGGCGCCGCGGTGCTGTTCGCCACGTGCTCTCGTGGTCTCCGAAATTTTGATTGCCACTGGACATTCCAACGGTGATGAATGCTTGCCTCGTAACGGGATACGCCCTTTCCCGAAGTTTTTGTGATTACTCTTGACACCGTCCGGCACACCTTATAATTTGCAGGTATACGCTGAGCCACAACAGTCAAGAGGATCGGCACTAACTGATCACGTAGCGCAGCAATTTGACATAGCACAGAAGGCACGACGACGAGCACATACGTCAAACAAGATTTATTTCGAAGGCCGTACACATATATACTCCCAAAGTCCAAAAAAAAAAACAAAACAAAAACAAATCATTCAGAAAGCCCACAACCGCCGCGTTATAAAATCCTACGTTCTCAGGAAAGACCACTCTTTTTCACAAAAGCCGGGAGCGAGAGTGCTCACGCAGCTCAGCCTTTTTCTACAAATCCTCTCTGCCTCGGTAATTTCTTTGTATACACTTAAACCAGTCTACAGCGAACCCGGATACTGTATAACAAAATATTGGTTATAATGAACTAAACTAAATCTTGTCTTGCAATGAATACAGTGTTATATTGGAATGAACATTTATTACACATTTACGAATATAACAAACTTTTCTGTGTAAGATGCAATTGTTTATAATGAGCTTTGAATGTAGTTGTTGTTATATTTGTTTTCTTTTCAACAATAACGGTGTCATGCAAAAGCTGTTTGCAGCCTCACGTGCTGAAGTACAAGGCCAAGAAAGCATCGCGACCGTATTTGACGATACGAGCGTGTTCGCGGAGCGGGTCATTGTTACGGCGGCCAGTATAGCTCACGTGCTTACAAGCATTTGGAGTGATGATGAAGTGCCATCACTTTTCTCTTCTATTTTCTCAGGTGCGTCGGCGCAAAGCAACGCGTTCAACAAGGAGATCTTGGAGTGCATGTGCGCCAACGCCGAGCGACCCGTGGTGTTCGCCCTGAGCAACCCGACGCACAAGGCCGAGTGTACCGCCGAGGCTGCGTACACCTACACAGACGTGAGTATGTCTACGAAACCACGCAGTGTATAACGGTGATACTGGGACATCCCATCGAAAAGTGACGTCGCGTAGCTCATGCATGCTTCTTACAGACCGAATTAGTATCGATAGCTCTCACGTGACGTCATGATAACAGCTTCATAACGTACTAGTTCACCAACATGGCTGCCTTGATGACGTAGGAGCAAGGTAATCACGTCGCGCTTCACATGCTTCAATAGGATAAAGATAGGGCCAGAATTTTATGGGTTTCTGTACGTCAATAACGAAAGAACTTGCAAGTGATGCAATAATAACATTAACGTGTGTCGTCATAAACCATTCGTATATGCCGTGCGGTTCACCAACTAGGCGGTTTCTGTGACGTCACTGGAAGCCGTGAGCACAAACTACCCTTCGTTGCCCCACCTCTCAGTGTACTTGGGACACAAAACCCGGTGAAGAAACATGCCCCGGCAATAATATTGGAAGAAAAATTATTGTGTTTGATTCGATTCATTTAAAAAAAGCGTATTCGACTTATTTGTAAAAAAGTCATTAAAAACTCAACGCATTCTTTGCTTTCGGATCTCCTAAAAAGAAAGAGAAAGGAGAAGGAAGGTAGAGATGTTAACCAGATGCTCAGTTGGAGTAGACAAAAAAGGAAAAACGAGGAAGAGTTCGCATTGTGTTTATAAGGTGGCTTGCGAGCGCGCATTCATTGATTCAATGACGTAATGTTGTGAAACTTCATTGCATCGGTGCGTCTTGTCGACTTTGCCAGCTTTTTTTTCTCCTTCATTTCTGAGGCTGGAGCTCGCGCGTAAATGTTACTGCGAGATCACTGTTGGGAGAAAGCTGCTCTCTCGGCTTTGCCACTGTTGTTTTGGAACATCTCAATGAGAAATAAATATCCAAGTAATTCTTGAAAAAAGACACACCGAATCCTCATTCTCGCAGTGGAGTGCGTATTGGAACGGCGCCCTTTCGCTTCCTCGACGTCAAACACGGCGTTTTCAGTCATTCAAATCTCAGCGATTAGCAACCAATCCACAATATTGGCAGTAAAATTAACACGCGTTATAAGGCAGTCTTTTACGGGGCGGTTTCTGTGGCTTCACGATCGCCACGTCACCGTGCCACTACAGGTTCACATTGCAAACAACTTGACTGGTCGACGGCGTGACCAGTCGAATTGCGCCATCGCGGATTAATACCAGATATCAGCGCACACCGTAGAATTCCATAGAGGGCTTTGTACCCTTCATGTTCGTCGCTTCACAGTGAGCATTCGTAAAGGTGCATCTATGTCATTGAACTCAAAGATGGTTTTACTATATATTCTAAAATAAGTTACAAAATTCCAACATTTTCTCGTTTCTGTCAGCCATTGTTGTATAGGGGAATGTGCGAATAGGTGAGGCGTAAACCCACAAAGGGTCATGGGAGGGGCCGTCAGCATCAGCTTCCGGTTCAAGATATCTGTGGCGCATTTTTTCGCTGACCGCATTTTTGGAGCTGCACTCCCCCCTCCCCCCACCCTCTTTTTTTTTGACACTGTTGCAATCTAATCGCTTTCGCGGTCATGGTTTATTGCGTGGCTGTCGGTTGCTTGAGTTCGAGCACCTAAGAGAAAAAGATGTTCAGTTTCCCTTCGAACGAAGTATAAAATTAAAGTGGGTTTCATGGTAATAAGAAGAAGCATGGTGAGTGGTACAGCGTTTGGATGCCTAGCATCAGGTAGGTGATAACTTGTCTCAAATCCTGCATGGGTGGTATTGTTTGTAGGACACATTCGGTGTTTACGTACGGGCGCTCCCAGCAAAGATGCACGGCAGGTTGACTACGTGCCGTCGACATTTTGGCACGACGAAAGACGAACTGGGGCGCCAAGACGGCGCCACGAAAGACATTTGAATGTGCAGTTTTTCATCAAAACAACCATAATTACTGTATACGCAGCTACGATCGACAAACATACGAGTTTTACACTAAAACACATGGCCGCCGAGCAACGTGCAGCCAGCTCTGACCCTGTCACCGAAAATAGCGCGACACAGCAGTTGACAGCAGCACGACATCAGCTCAGAGGTGAACCCGTGAAATCCACGGGCACAACATTTGTCGATGACGTCAACTGCATGCACCGATATATACCCAATTAGCCAGGGGTTCTGAAGGCGACGACCTCGCACCAGTGGGAGAAAATTATGTCATTAACACTCATGTAGACAAGAAAAAGCGCCCGCTATTCTACTCGTTGAACAGGTATACCAAGTGTTGCTGGCAATTTCAAGTGTTTCTCCGAGCATTTGTTTCGTAGTAGCCAAATTATTCATGCATGATCTCGTGCGCATGCGAGCAGAACAGATAACTACGCAACACAAGCATGGCGCCTGACTATGAGGTGAACGCCGTCTCGATTGATTTGATATGTGGGGTTTAACGGTTCTTTAACGTGCATCCCAATCTGAGCACACGAGCCTACAACATTTCCGCCTCCATCGGAAACGCAGCTTCCGCAGCCGGGATTCGATCCCCGCTACCTGCGGGTCAGCAGCCGAGTACCTTAGTCGCTAGACCACCACGGCGGAGCGAACGTCGTCTCGGCCAGCCTGTTCACAAATGCGATGCAATACGTAAACGCCAAACGAGCTCGACTGCTCAAAAAAAAAAAAAAGTTACCGCTGACACATTTGGTTTTAGGGGCGAAGCTCCTTCAAGTGGCACCCGTTCGTCCCTCGTCATAGTACGTAACCAGTCTTACGTTTTTACGAGCAAGGTGGTGCCGGTGGGAGATTTCTCCTGTGTGTTGTTGAACAATAAAAAATTTGCAGCGTGCGGGTTATCTAAAAGACGAATTCATCTGTCTCTTATTCCCCATTAGCAGCCAGCCATTGGCATGTGCATTGAGCACTATTTGACAAGAAAGGCTTGCTATGTTATACTCTCTCGACGTAACCTCCTTGGTTTTAGAAGGGTTTTGCGAGCGTTGGGCCGCAGTGCCATAAATACAGTGAACTAGTATGTACCATGAACTCGAGGTGGCTAAAGCTGGGAAGTAGACACGAAGCGCAAGCCGTAAGAAAGTGTGCGTGTGCGACGTCTCGTTTAGTCCTTGGAATGTCCGCTGGATGGCGGTGCTTTTATATGCGGAACATATGATGAGAAGATGTGAGATGGTGTTACTTGGAGTGTTGACTAGATGGACGGACGCATGGATGGCTGCACGGACGGACGCAGGGGCAGATGCATGGAAGAACGCAGGGACGGACGCACAAGCAGAGGCACACACGGCCGGGTGGATGTACGCATTGACGGTCCCACGACGGACGCATGGACGGACGGATGCTTCGCCCCACTCTCCACCATTCATCCCGTTGATATGCTGCCATTATTTTTAAAGCTTTGTGCAGAAGACTGAGGCGCAAAAACATATCGTGAAGCAGGAAGAGCAGTAGAGAAGACAGAACAGCTCTGTCTGTTCTCTCCTGCTCTTCCTGCTTCACGATATGTTTTTTGCGCCTCAGTCTTTTGCACCAAGTATGCACCAACTAGCCAAAAAAAGTCCTTTTAAAGCTTTGTCAGTTCTGCATTGTAGTCAAGGTCATTCACGAATGAAAGATTAAACATTTTGCACGGCTGCTGCCGCTGAATGCGTAGTTTCAGTAATGTAGGATACCCCTTGCACTCGGTGAACATGGATACAAGCTGCGGTGCAACATGGTGCAACTACTGATGCAAAAAGAACTGAGCCCATCCACAGAGGGAAACACGTAAAAATAAATATTGACACGTGTCTACATGTGGACAAAAACGATGCTGGCGACATTTAGCGGACACCAGGTAGTGGGCCTCTGGCTTGACGCAAGAACGAGGAAGAAGATCTTGCGGCTCAGCTGTTGAGAGCACGCTGCTTTCGCTGCCTCAAGGCGTACTTGTACTTTGTTCGCGTTGTACTGCGACAATATGTTAGTGGGCGACCTGGGTTAATACGTATAGGGGAGACCCGCTTAAGTTTGCCCGGCGACGCCAGCGCTTGCCTTTCCCCTGCCAGAAAAAGCGCACAACAGTAGAGTCTTCCGACCCTTCCGCTCCCTTTGGCTTCCACGCATTTGCGAAGCACGCGCTGCACGTGAAACGTCCCTCGTTCCGCGATGTCACCCCAACAGAAAAGGGGGTGACATCGCTGCGTCGTCAACTGTCACAATAACCATGCAAACACGAAGAGGTCGACTCCACCAGTGAAATTCTACCGATTCCCAAACCGATGGTACGAAACAAGCAGACGACAGAAATGGATTAAAGCAGTGCGCCGAAAAAAGTATCTAAACAATTTTTTTCATAAAAATTTGCACGCGCACAATGCATTCAAAATTACGGGTGTTAATTCCTGCGTCACCATTCCTCTAATCTATCGAGTTACTGGGAGATGCACGCCCCCATCTTAAAAGTATAAATTTTCAACGCCCGTCTTTAGAGCACTGTTAAAAAATATCGAAGAAATATTTTATGCTGCTACTATTATTCTATATTGTTGGCGACGTAGTAGTTGAAGTTGTGTGCACATGTAATATTGGTAATGTGTTATATATTTTTAAATCTACGCAGCGCCGACGGAAGTGTGTGGTTGCCAAAAGCTTGGACAACTATAAAAAAAGCAAAAAATGCATTAGCGGTTGTTGCACGTCCGTTGGCAGATACAGTGAACTAGTTGTTACTGAGTGTGCAGGGGTAGCCCGAACAACACGGTGCATTTTCGATACGTGACCAAGATAAAATGCCTTTATAGCAATGTGCTCTTGCCCTGCAGATAAGACACACACAAAAAAGTTTCTCTGAAAGCTGGGCGCTCATCATGACGGTACGCACGCTGTTCCTGAACTCAAAGTACCCGCAATGAGAACGGTGATAATACAAGGAAAGACACGCAAGATAGATGTCAATTTTCGTTGTGGGTCAGAAAGAAGCCCCAAATAGGCCATTTATTTTTGAAGAGCTGTGTATATGCCGCACGATAACTTCGGTGGGCGCTAGTAAATTAAGGTATCCCAACTAATAGCAGTCACCGCGCAAGAACCGCTTAACTTAAAGCACGAGAAGCGGCCTTACCCATGCATCCAGTAACAAACATAGTGCATAGTACACACAGCAAACCAAATGAACGTACAGAAAGTCTTATTCACCTCTAACGTCGTAAACAGCGTCGTCTTTCACTTGCGAAACGCACTTCGCTCTGACGAGGACGGCGTCGTCTGCTACAATTTGCTTCCTATGTTTTTTGCGCCTCAGTCTTCTGCACCAAGTATGCACCAACTAGCCCAAAAACAAGTCCTTTTAAAGCTTTGTCAGCGCTGCATTGCTGTCGAGGGCATTCGTGAATGAAAGATTGAACATTTTGCACGGCCGCTGCCGCTGAATGCATAGTTTCAGTAATATAGGATACCCCTTGCACACGGTGAACATTGATACAAGCTGCGGTGCAACATGGTGCAACTACTGATACAAAAGGAACTGAGCGCATCTACAGAGGGAAACACGTAAAAATAAACATGTTAGTGGGCGACCTGGGTTATTACGTATAGTGTGTGAAAAGAGTTCAAGGCTACGCTCAAAGAAACGTGTAATTGTGGTAGTACGTACAGTTCGTTCTTTTCCAGCTGATATAAAAATATTATTTCGCAGGGACAGCACAAGTTTCCCTTTCATGGTCGGTCATGCGTGTGGCCATGCTAACGTGCGTTATAGAAATTTGAAGCATGTGCACTGTTGCAGTGATGTTCCATGCAGGGAATTTTCCTCTTTTCGGGGGATTTTCGCCTGTCATTTCAAGCCAAAGGGAAAAGGGGAATCTTCGTGATATTGCAGGGAATTTCAGGAATGGTTAAATTCTCCTATTACGACCGATAATTACCGCTCACAGGGCGCCTTCACTTGCTGTAATCGGTTATGACGCATACACCTTTGAGTTTTGTTCTGATATTAGGGAGTTTTAGAATACCGTTTGCAAGCGCTGCGGGCGTTACGGGCGCCATAAGAGTTTTAGAATAGTGTTTGCCCTGCCATGAACCGCAACGCACGATCGCAGCGACGCTGTAGCCTTGAAGCCAGCGCTTGCGGGCCACATGCGGGCCGCCATCACCGCACGCAATTTTGGATTTTCTGCGTGCGGTCTGCGAACGCCAACGCCGACTCGTGTTACGACGCGTGCGCAGTGGCAGCGACCGCACCGCAAGGGCTCACGGTGTGCTATTCTAAAACTCCCTATTTACGCGAAGGGATTTCTAGTTCACTAATGTTAGACTTGAAGCCCACAATGTGCACTGTACTAACAGCACACGAACTAATGAAGTCATGCTTTTGTTGTGCGGCAGTGGAGGGGCTAGTCATGATTTAAAAAGTCGCCAGTACGTGAGACACGTCTAATTATAGTGTGTGTGTGTGTTGATTGGGGCGTAAATCAGTACTATTGTGGAGGGAACTTCGCTGGAAATTTTGTCAACGTTGGCAGGAAAAAAATCCCGGAAATGGGGAATTCTCATGTTTCTGAATGGGAATGCTGCGGCGTAGTATGCAACATCACTGCTGTGTTGTCATGAAGAAAGCGCGTGACACCGATAACCAAGGAGTTACAAAGAGCAGTTGAACCAGAAGACGGTGCAGACCGCATGCATTCCGTGAGCCTTTGCAGGTTGACGTCTCACAGTTTATGCCTTCGCAGCTGAAGTAACTCTTCTAAAATCCGCGCGAGGTCTGTCGATAAAAATTACTCTGCTACGCGTTTTCTTTTTCGTTTCGCCACAGCCTTTTGAGTCTGTAGACACGTCACATATGCGAAATTCATTTACATAGTACTATGCACAAGCACTTCCAATTGTGTCATCGATATGTATGCTCTAAAACAATATTTCTGGTTTGCTGCTTATCTTGTCACAAAATGGTAATGGTTACTTATCTTGCATGAATTGTATTTTCTTTTTCACTGCACGCTTCTGCAGAACTTCTTGGTCCTAAACAGCTTACGTCATATCAGCGAGATCATCTTGGTATTTTTTCGCAGGGGGGGGGGGGTAAGCAGGTAAGGATAGCAAGCGCGGAGTAATCCCCAAAGGAAACACGAGACACATGGCAAGTATTGTTCGCGAAGAAGGAAAAAAAACATCAATGGTGCGAACCATAAATGTCGTACACCCCTCGAACAAAATTGCTGTAAACACCGCATTTTTCCGCGAGCACCGTTTACAGAAAATCGCAAGAAGATGGTAGAAAACGATTATTTGTGTCATAAATAGCGTAAACTGCTTTTCATGCACCATCATCTGCCCGACTACGTACACCGCAGGACAAAGGCTGCTTCCACTATCCGCCAGTCAACTGAGTCTTGTGCGTTCTGCTGGCATTTTATATCGTTTGTGTCTATCAATTAAAGTGCGACTCATAAACTTGATGTAAACATGCCGTCAAGGTGTGGCGTAAATAGGTAAATACGTAAGCTATAGGTACGAGCAATATGCAAGATAATAAACTCCGTCCTTACCTGTGTTCCTTTCTGGGCAGGGCAAGTGCGTGTACGCCAGTGGTAGCCCGTTCCCGCCATTCAAGTACAAGGGCAAGACCTTCTATCCAGGACAGGGCAACAATGCCTACATCTTCCCGGGAATCGCACTCGCTGTGTCTGCCTGCGGAGTCACCACCATCAGCGACGAGGTCTTCCTCATTGCCGCCAAGGTACGCACAGTCACGTACCACCTGTCTCGTGTGCACAGCTGTACTTGCTTCCTTCAAAAAGATGATCAGGTTGGTCACGATCACTCGCATGTGACGGGATATCACTAGATCATAACGAGTAGCATTATCGTGCTATAACGAGCGCCACGAAACTTACCAAGTTATGCTGGAAGTACGTACACTGTGTAAAGGTTGGTGGAATATCTGACTAAACAACGAATAACACTAAACCGACTGAGCATTTGCGTGACCGGTCTGCCGACCACTACGAGTTTCAGCGTGAAAGCGAGTGCTTTCTCGCTGTTATCACTGGTAGTCGCAAGGATCCCAACGATGCGTTCGATGCCATAAAAGTAGCCCAGTAGTTGTCAGCGTTTATGGTTCAACGACGAAGAAACCGAAGAACTGCAGGACGTCCTGAGTCGCTTTGAGCACTGTCGCGTAGCAGCGGTCCGAGAAAAAAAAAGCGAAAGTCATCGTCGCAGTCATCACTCTACAATCGGTTGCAACCTTCGAGGTTGCGTTTTTTTTCGCACAATGATTATCGTCGTCAATCTATATGCTTGCCCTTACTTAATTGACAGCGTGTGCCGAACGCCTTCCTGTCATACGGCACATGCTAATAGCATGACACAGGTAAACATCGCTGAGAAAGCGGCGAACGACGAGCTTTTATTTTTCTCTTTCACATAGAAAGAGAATGAAATCATGCTGTTGTCTTGCCACAAGAATACTAATAAAATAACTCCCTCTATGGCTGTGTACTTTAGGAACGGTGCGGAGTAAATCTCGCCACACATTCAGTTGTGACCAGGTAGATAGTACAACACACTGTATGAAACTCTGGTAGTTGTATAAGTGACTTGGTGTTCTGTGTTCTTACAACTTATATCTTTATTCTTGTACTTCCTTTACGCGCACGCGCAGACGGTGGCCAACACAGTGACGGAGCAAAACCTGAATGAAGGGCGCGTCTACCCGCCCCTCTCGGACATCCACGAGGTGTCGTTGAACATTGCCGCCGAGCTGGCCTCCCACTTCTACGCCACCGGAGTGGCAACCGTCAAGCCTGAGCCCAAGGACAAGATGGCATTCTTGCAGAGCAAGCAGTACGACTTCAGCTACCCCGGGACCGTCAAGGTCAAGTAGACGCCCACGGCTGCGCACCACCTCCTTGTCGTTGTATTTTAATGTTTTTTTTTTCGTTGTCATCGTTCAGTCCCAAGAAGTTCCAACGCAGCTTGCAGACGTAGTTACTGGACGCGACGTCTGCAAGCTTGTACGCGCGTCTTTCACGCACCGCCTCGTGTACTGCTGCACACAACGATCGGATTACTTAGATTATTATACAGACGAGAATTACATAATCAATGGCTTGAGATGTGGCATCACTCTATGGCTGTGGCCTTGCTTGGCAGGAAAAGATAAACCAGATAAGACCAAGCACGGCTCATAACCGCTGTACTGTTTGAATTCAGGTAAATCTCACCCTGCTTTTTGGTTTCGCCCCGATGTCCCCAGACGTTTTCTCTCTCTCTCTCTCTTTTCACTTAACATCATTTCACTGACGTGGTGCAGTGCACCAACGTTTGTTACGTGCAATGAAAGGATATTCGAGCAGGAGTCACAGCTACGGCTCATGTAAGCCACTGTGAATCTTCTTACGAGCTTACCACACATAATGTTTATTGAAATGCGAAACACATAATTTATTTCTGTACGGTGTTGCGGTTAGATAGGTTTTGGTAGTTGGAGAGATCTGTATGTCGTCAGAAACGACGTTGTTTGCTGCAAAAAAAAAGGAGGGGGGAGTGAATTAAGCGTGACGGCGAAGGGAGAATATATTGCGACGATTGTTATGACTCTATTGTGATGAGCCCCGAGGAATGAAATCCCTTATTTGCCCTGGTAAGACAGACATCCCCGACTTTTTCTTTTGAAAACGTTGTCTGGTGGTCAACAGTGTTTCGGGCTGGCTCCGAATCAGCGTGATTTTGTGTATAGCTAACACACAGACATTACAGGGCTAGCCTGTTATTGCACAACTGCTGCGACCTCTCTTTTCTGGTTGGCATCTTATTGCCAGGTGGTTGTTAGGACGTCGTAAAGCGCAGCAACAGAAGCATTAGAGATAATTAACCTTGTATTTAGGAAGACCCAGGCCTGTATTTTGTTGTTTTTAATAGTTTTGAGGACTTGAATGGAAAGCTTGAACCTGACATATTATTTAACTGGTATTACACGGTATGGTTTCTTTTTTTTTGTATAAAGATTTAATATATAATGTATAGAAAGTGCTATTTCAGGACTTTGTGTGGTGGAGGATATTTTCACCAAATATTTGAAATAGTAAATTCCTGCACAATGCAAAGAACACGATTAAAATCACGCCTATTATAACGTCGTACAATTAACCATCAATCCTTCAGTAAAACTATATGAAAAACATAAACATGAAGTAAGTCACATAACATCACGAAAGTTCGCTCGTATTCCAGCTTTACATGCTACCATATATAGGTATATTGTTCGTGCGGCTGGCACAACAAAAAGCCATGACGAAGTCATCAGCTGAGGTATGATATTTGTTCTAGTAATTTTTTCTTGAAAGACGCTTTATTTCTACATATATACATGACACAACTGTCAGATTTGTGAATCTGACCTGAGAGCATTAAGAACCGACTATAACCCAGTCAAAATTGCTATCGACCTGAGAGGTAATGCAACTTTTGTTTTAACAGTGTGGATTAAAAGATTTGCACCTGTTTAGTAACTGCGTAGTTTTTGTTGCCTCAGGTTACTTGCGTGGTGCATGCGAAGTCAACTTATTTCCTTGTCATCGCAGCCTCGATGAAATTTTTTCACAAGTGTGCCTGTCTGGTCTCTCTGTCAGCTTCGTGAGCAGCCGAAATTCACATAACACAAAGATGCTTTTGAAATGAAAGACATGCTTTGCTTATAAAGATGGCAGACTTTCGTATAACCTTATTTACTTTAACGCTTATTCTTACTTGGTGGTCGAGGCGTCTGAGGAAGATTATCCGTTATATTAGCTTGACTGTACGTTTTATACCAAACAAAGGCAAAGGAATGGATTTTTGTGTTGAAGTATGTGCATATGGTGCAATATGCATGCTGGGAACACTGTATTTGCAGTTGTGAAGACCCACAAGGGTCAAATATGCACGCCGCGACATTCGATAGTTCTGTGCGGCTGGTCGACATAATATGTTACACAAGGGGAAGGGCTAAATTGTTCAAGAAGCACACAGAAAGGCAGGACAGATGGGTGTGTTTGTAGAAAAGGTTTAGCGCTTATAACTAGAATGAAAAAAAAATGTTTGTCTTTGTGAGGTGAATTCAACAACTTTCTCATTTAGTACGGTGCATCTGAAACCTTTTGCTAAGTGGCGTAACGCAGAAATTTTTCTAAAGAACCCAGTTTAATCTGACAAAACACAGTGGTTTTTTCACCGAATCTGTAACTTGAAAGAATTTTTTTTCTTTAACGTAGCAAGTCAAAAGTGGTGAGGGCGTGTCGCCGTCTTGCTATTTAGGTACGCATAAAATTGAGTGCAGTATATTAATGATACATCAAGGTTCTGTTATTGTGAATATGGTGCTTTTAGAAAGTCCAAATTGTTGGTTCGATTATATGATTTCAGAGGCGGCGCCTAATTAAAGAAGTTTTGATAGAATGAAGGAAACGCCCCGGTGACTGTTCTTCATTAAACCATAATAGATAGTGCTGAAGTTGGAGGCTAAAAAGTGTTTGGTAAATCTATGCATTGTCATGTTTACCGTAGTGTCTCACGAAAGCATGTGCTGCGGTAAGTTTCTACACTTGCCTTACAGATACAAATAATTATCGGTAGTCTGGTACCTAGTTGCGATTCCGTAGAGTGCCGGCAGTGTGATATCTGTTTTAATATCGATTGTACTCGGAATATCTGATGTTGGATGAGTTCACCTAAATTTCCTCATTGCTGCGAGAAATTGGGAGTGTGGACCCTTCTCCTGAAAAAAAGGCTTTCTTTTTCAAGGAGGCCCGACATAGATAAGCATCGAATGTATTATATGGAGAATGACATGTGTCTGTGATGATGTATCTGTAAATTGTGGAGCTAACCAAGAAATTTCTATTAAAATATCGCAGACATTGCCATGGCTTCTAGAAGGTGAGATGCGCACGCAGAATGAAGTTTAACTTAGTTTGTAAGGTAATTTCGTGGGATATACAATCGTATTAGTTTCAACCAATGTCGGTGTTCTCGTGCACGTTGCTTGTATTATCAGATGGGCGCAATTATCTCCTACCAGACATATGTCCAAGAGGTACCGAACGATCTCGCAAGAAGTATCTACGTGGAGGTGGTAGTATTAGCGCAGCAAATGCAAGATCAAAAATTATTACTGCCATCGTGACCGCTAACTGCATGATGTCGTAGCCGTTATCGTGCTGCGCTGCTGTAATCTCATATTTGATGTATTAACTTCCTTTTCCTCGTTTTTTTTTGCAGATATGTGATAGTTGCAATTGTTAAGCTAGCGATTCTCAGTGAGTCGAGATTATTTACAAACGCTGAGGATGTTGTAGTTCTATTTATTCTAATATGAGTGTTATTACATATATTATCTTTGTCTCATCTCAATTCACTGATATATTTGAACGTATACTGGAAGTATAGTTGTCGAGTAAACATTATCAGCATATATTGGCCGTCTCCCTTCTCCACTGTGCAGTGCAGGACGATGGGAAAACGGTGTGTATTGGTTTATATTTATTTCTAGAACCATGCTTCGTTCTACAACAGCAACCAAAGCGAGAGGCCATCATAGAGCTCACACATTCTTAAGAGTCTGTCAACCCTTGTATGCATCGACATTATTACGATTGGTAAAAAAAAAGCTACACAGAAATTAAAAAAACGTTGAGCTAATGTCTACGCTATTGATGTCTCTCGCTGAAAAAATTCGAAACTTGCGCTTGCAAGCATTTACGTGGAAGCTTCTAGTGATTACATTTTTTTTGTTCGTCGCACGCAGTGTTTCAGCAATTATAGTCGACGTATGTGTTTGGTGGTCGTGTCAAAATGGCTCGTTTCCCTATTGCGACACTTTGTTGCGGCGGCGTTCACTAACCTACCTGGGCTTAACCATGTCTCGCCTTGTATGCAGGAGACGCCGATGAACAACCGTTACATGACGTATTTGTTGCACTGTTTCTTGTAGCTTGCTGGTGTGAACCGCGTGCGCATAGCTTCCGTCGTCCTTAGAGCGGTGGCTTGCTCTGTTTCGCTTGCGCAAGGCACCGACTGATTCCGGACAGGAAGCTTCTGTTTAATCTACGCTGCCGCATCAGACAGAGTATCGATGGTTGGTGAAACCCTCACTTATAAATGACGTCACCCTGTTTTGAAAATGGGCCTCCGTAGCTAACAGCCTCATGTTAAAGTTGGGTATTGGGGCTGTTGGTGCCCTCAATGGCTGTCCAAACGACAGGGTCACGTACGACAGACGAGCAGTTGACGTGTCCACCCAGAGGCCATTCCTGAGGCTTCAAACGTCCCTTCGTGCTGTTTTATAGGTACGCTGCGTTAGAGTTTCCTAATGAATTTCTCGCTCTGAAATCATTAGTGTCACGTGGAGTTAAAGTGATAGATTATCGAAAGGCACACACAAAAAGAATTTAATCGTGTGGAGGGTTGATGTTGAATTTTAAGTTTTATTTGATGACAGACCGGCTCTAAATGCTCGTGATATTGAGTTGGTGTACGTTCTGGTAATATATAGGAGCAAAAGGGATATGAGTGACTGGCTTATGAAAGTCTGCTGACAATATGTATTGTGGGCTGAAAACATCACAGTAACTTACAATGATAGCGAATATTGTAGGCTTGATTTCAGCAAACAGAAGTTTCAAACAACAGCATGTACAGGGTCAAACATAACAAAGCTACAGGAAAGCCCAGACCTGCCCTCCTTATCTGAAGTCTTCGGGAAGTCTCAAGTACATGCATCTGGTGAGCATGATCGCTATGAAGGCTGAGAAATTGCAGTGCCACGTTTTATGCCCTATCCCTGATTTAAAACACTAGCGTGAATACTTGAAGAACACCTTTAATTGTGATCGCATTCGGGCTCGCAGGTAAAAGTGGCTTGTCAGTTTCGCGGGGTGTGCCAGGGTGCAAAGATGTCATGAACTTCATCGGCGCCTCTGCGAACAAGCGCGAGAATTCCGATACAGCTCTCGTTCTAGACAAGGATGATGGAGGCTGAGCATAGCACGAAATAAATAATAAGAAGAAAAACTTCTGTGATGCTCGTTACTTACTGCGAAGAGTGAGATGTGTTCGCTTTAGATGTATTGTCTGTTGTGGTGCTTTTAATGGTTTGTGTGGCGTGCGATGTATTATGTCATCGACAATTCACATTGGTTCATCTCGCTCAGCTGCTGACCTGTGAACGCCTGTAGTGTCCTTAAAAGATACATTAGTTTTTTCAACCTTAATATATTAGATGATCATGCACTGCGAGTAGTGATGCATATCCACAAAGCTGTGCATATAGGATATTCAGCGGATGACTTAAAAGAACTGCTATGTGCGTTTCTGTCCGATGTCCTGGCACTATACGGCACGCGTAAGCACATTGAGAATGCCGTTTGATGAGCATGTCAATAAAGAAATATAAGTGGTATCAGCGTCTTCTTTTAAAACATGTTCTGCGAGCCTGTGATGACGATCTACAGGTTCGCTTTTTTTTGTACCAACTGTCTTTACAAGTTTTAATACTATCTGGCCTTTATTTGCGAGGAATTCAGTGTGCTTATAAGGCACACCTTAGTGGAGGGCTCCAGCAATTTCGGCCATCTGGTGTTCTTTCCAACGAGCTCCGACTTCGTGCTGCAGTGTGCACACTGCTGTGCACACTGCAGTGTGCAGTGCGCGCCTCCATCGAAATGTGACAGCCGTAGCTTGGATAGAAACCGCGATTTTAAGGGTCGGCAGCCGACAAACGTATCTGCTCTACCACTGCGGTGGGCTCCTTAAATTTGGTCCTCGATGAACGAAAGCCTGTCAGACAATCTGAAGAAAGGCGGTGCCTTAGTAATATCACACTGACACGCAAATAGCATAAAATGTAATCGGAATGGCAGCCTTTTCAAGTAGCTGTGTGTCTATATGCAACGTCGTATAGCTCAAGAACGGCGTTGCTATAAACGTGATGTAGGGCCAGGTACGCATGTTTTTTGTATCTGGGTAAAGCAATTGTAAAGATGCAGAATTATTGTAGGCCCGTGTACTCAGATTTGGGGGCACGTTAAAGAACCCCAGGTGGTCAAAATTTCCGGAGCCCTCCACTACGGCGTCTCTCATAATCAAATGGTGGTTTTGGGACGTCAAACCCCACAAATCAATCAAGATGCAGAATCAACGAGCGAGTGCATACCATAGTGTCTTTATGCTTCAATGTGTTGAAGTACATGCGATCTCTACACTTTCCGCCTGTATATAGGACGTAGATACAATCGACGTGGCAGTGTATCTCACAGCGCCGCCGCTGTGGGTTTCAATCAATCAATCAATGAACTTTATTTTCATGAATTAACATATGTAATTACAGGGATCATTTGGACCGATAGCCTACAGTAGCTAGTGAACAGTCCAATACAGTATGCAATATGGTTTATAGTGATTATGGCACTTTACTTCTAACCCGCAGGTCGCGGGATGGAAATCCGACTGCGGCGGGTGCATTATCCATGGACGCGAAGGTGTTTGAGGCCCGTGTACTTAGATTTCAATGCACGTTAAATAACCTCAGGTGGTCGAAATTTCCTGAGCATTCCGCTATACGTCTCTTGTAAATATATCGTGGTTTTGGGATAATGAACCGCAAACATTATTGTTATTATTAGTGTATTCGCACTGATGCACGAAAGAGCTTGACTTCACATGCGAATGCACGGAGTTTCAGCAGCGTAGATCATCGACGTAACACTTGCTAGAATGTTTCCAATGGGTGGAGCGATTCTACAAGAGTTGAAATTATCTCGAAGCGCGTTGGTTGCATTCATAACATGGGCCGATCGTCGCTCTGAATAGCCAATTTTGAAAACACATTAAGGTCAGAAGAGGCATCACTACAAAGTACCAACCATCTTGCCCAAGAGGTGGTCAGTCATTGGTCTAAAACGTTCGCTTACGAAACTAATGAGCTGCTGCAAGCATCTTTCGGAGGCAGAAACAAGAAACAATCGAGCATTATTTTTTATTCTGTACTCGCTTCAAGTCACTGAGGAAAAACATTCTTACAGTGGCTTTTAATCGAATTGTATTATATTTCATTATTTCTAATATTCTCTCCTTGGGAGCCTTTCCATTAGGTCGTTGTCAACGGGATATCTGTTCTACAAAGATTCTTAATTGAATCAAGGCGTTTTTTATTGTAAATCTCTCAATTAGTAAAATTTAATTTCTTCTAACCTTTTTAAAATTTATTAGATTTAAAAGTACACTATCTAAATGATCGTTTCTTGGCCAATCCCCTAGATTTGGTGTAAGCCATTCGTTTAGGCTCATCATCATCATCATCAAGCTCGGACGCAATTAGGGTGAAAGAAAGCCTTTAGTGCCTCACACTCCCGTCCATCCGTCCGTGCGCTGGAACGGTGCCGGCTGTGGTCCTGTCACCCTCGCATCAATCACATGACTGCTGAGAGTGTAACATGACACAGTAAGTCGAATGGCCGCAGGCTTTCGCCGAACACACTTTGAAACTTAGGAAGTGTACTTCAAGGTATTTGTCGCAACGCCATTATGAAAAGAAACTGGCCGCCCCGAAACAGCTCACAGAACGTTTGGGTGACAAAAAGCTCAACAATCTGTCATCAGGAACCGGAGTATTTCATCTGCTAAAAGCTTCTTATTCACTGTGGCTTCCGCTAGCGACTCTGGCCACGCGTCGCTGCGCACTGCTGCATATCACGTGGAAAGAAAATTTACAACACGAACGTGTTGGCCCACTCCATGCAGACCATGATACAGAAGCGACCAACGCGTTGTCCATAAGCCATCGTTCTTGTCACCTAGGTTGGTCGCTTCCTTTAGCTTCACATAATTGCCTATAAAAGCGTGAACTGCCGGGCTAGTCGGTGAAACATGTTTAGGCCTTGAAGAGCGTGGCCATGCAACACGCAGACGAAAACCGCGAGGATAGATGGTAAGGGCGCTTAGCTTGCCACGTAGTTAGATAGGAATGAAAACTAGCCAATTGACACCGATTGCGCGTATTTCTGGAAAGGCACACTGGTTACGACGCATGCGCAGCCATCGTGAATCGGTTAATTTTGATTCCCAACTCAGTCGCAAGTTAAGCGTCCTTCCCGTCTGTTTTTGATATTGGTCGGTGTGTTACGTCGTCAAACTTTAGTGTATAAGTACACTTGCTCTGGTTAACCATAGCTTTCTATGATAGGAAACATGATACCCGTAATAACGACACAAAAATTCGCAGTTGTGACATACAGGTCAGTCCACTGTTAGAGGGAACACGCTAGCGCGTGGCCTGCGCTCTGCGGCGGCTGCCTGCAGCACTATCAGGTGACAGCTAAGAAAAGCACGTCCGCTTTCGGCGTCATCTATTTCCAGCCAAGATAACGATTCACGGCTGGTTGACAAGCGCTGCCAGATTTCGCTCCCTCGCGTAACTATAGCGATGTTGCGCGATGCCTGCAGCTTTCGCTGTGTTTGCGCACCACGTTTAATTTGTTGCCCGCCGACGACGCACTCAGGCAGGCATCGCCTTTTTTTTACGCGAGCGGAGAGGCAGCGTAATATAGCAGCGCTTGCCTACCGGCCATGACTCGATGTAGGGTTCGGCAAGAGACGGCGCCGAAAGCGAACGCGTTTTCTTCAACTGTCGGTATAGATGGTGCAGTAGACGGTGCAGGCCGCGCGCTCGCGTGTTGCCTCTAACAGTGGACCGACCTGTATGTACATGTGCCAAACGGATGGCGAACTCCTCAAGAGCCTAGAAAACGCACTGTTGAACGTGAGTGTCACCTGAAAAAAATTGATCACACATGCTTTGACAAACTAGTCTCAGTTCCTGCTGTACACTGTCGTTCTCTTTTGAACGGGAACACGCGAACGCGTGGCCTGCGCTCTGCGGCGGCTGTCTACAGCACCATCAATTCCGACTAGTGAAGAAAGGACATTCGCTTTTGGCGACATCTACGGCCAAGCAAGATAACGAGTCAAGGCCGCTAGACAAGCACTGCTAGATTACGTTTCTTCGAGCGATATCAGGCGATTACTGCAGCTTGCGCCGTGGTCGCGCACAACGTTTGGTATGTTGGCAGTGGACTAAGCACTGCAGGAGTGAATCGAGATGGAGTGCAATCTAGCAGCGCTTGTCCACCAGCCACATCTCGTTATTATTTTTTTTTTTTTGAAACAGATGACGCTGAAAGCAAACGTGTTTTCTTTTGCTGCCGGTTGATGGTGCTGTAGGCAGCCGCCGCAGAGCGCAGGCCACGCGTTCGCGTGTTCCCTTTCATAAAGAATGACAGTGTACCTTGACATTGCTGCACGTTCCTCACGTGTTCGCGCGCAACATGATGCGGCTTTGCTGCGTTAGTGGTCCACAAGTGGCTGCAATGTATGTTTGGCACCAGTCGTAATCACAACTCGCAATTGACACAGTAGTACCTAAGCTGACGCTAGCCTCTGTGCCAGTAGGTGCGTCGTGCGGAGATTGGTTGCAACGTCAAAATGAAAACTTTTATCAGCTTTTTCGGAGCCACGTGCTTGCTCGGAGCCGTCTGGGTTTACAGATTACCGCAACGAGGAAAACTCGGATAATGATAGCTATTTTCCGCCAGATAAGGAGGCCTCCTACTCAGCTTCCCTGGCACACAGACTTGTGACGGGGGCCGACGCCTCCGCGATTAAAAACGGGCAAAAGAGGTCTCGGACTCTTCGCGGCTTCTTACGCCGAGCGGATATATGGCGTGTTGCTATGAAGCATGGTACTCACTACATAGCATAGCTTTCCGGGCTCCACCGCATTATCTGCGAAGCTGTCGCACTCCCAGCTCCCTCTCGGCCCCCACTGTCGGCTTGGAAAATTAGCGTCGTTACTCCTTTGATGTGTGAGGGGACGCGACGTTGCTCGTAAGGACAGCGGTTACACGTACGTAACTATGATCCCCATATGTAACAGGCCGGGAAGGCGGCAGTTAGAGGTATACGCCACAACTGGCACTGACACACGAACAGAATTAGACGAACTAGTTTCCGGCTGAGCTTCCGGGCTCACGAGTTTCCGGTATCAGAGAAAAGAGGCATTGCTCAAAAAGTAAGGTACTTACAGACGAAACGATTAGGGCGCTTTCTAACATTGCTCGAGCAAGCGCCTTACGTTTCGCCAATTCTCTCACTACAGAACAATGTTTCGAGCGACCCACATATGCACGTGCGCAAAGTTTCATTTCCTCAGTAATGCTATACTTACTACCCTCTCTTACACAATTTATATTTTCCCGTAAGCAAGCGCGAACCTACTACAACGACGCGACTGCATTAGTAAGCCATTACCTGGGCGATGATTAGGATTAGAGCGAATGTACTTGGCATAATGTACTTGGCATCATTTTGATGCACTAAAGCGCGAATCATCTATAGACGCCCGTTTTCTTAAGAGAGTTTGGGCCCCGCCGCGGTGGTCTAGTGGCTAAGGTACTCGGCTGCTGACCCGCAGGGCGCGGGTTCGAGTCCCGGCTGCGGCGGCTGCATTTCCGATGGAGGCGGAAATGTTGTAGGCCCGTGTACTCAGACTTGGGTGCACGTTAAAGAACCCCAGGTGGTCTAAATTTCCGAAGCCCTCCACTACGGCGTCTCTCATAATCATATAGTGGTTTTGGGACGTTAAACCCCACATATCAATCAATTAAGAGTTTGGAGACGAAAGACGTCTGCCTTAATTTAGGCCGCACTTTTTTGAAGCGTAGGAAGATTACGAGTGCAGTCAGCGCAACCGACAAGAGGGACACAAGAGGTGACACAGACCAACATGACCAATCCTGCAGCCTTCTCAAAGGAAGGAGCATATAGCTCGATTCCTGCAGGATCTGTCGGAGCATTTCATCATACTTACCTGCGCATGAGCACACAAGCTTAGCGTGAAATCACATTATACAATTACCCTGATATTGAATCTTGCCCTACGGCCCAGCTCGAGATATGAAACAATGCTTTCCCGAATTATTTTTCTCAGATGAAGCGGGTCACTGCTTTTATGTAGGAGGCAAAGCTTCTCGAGTTCTCGTTAGAACAAAACACAATCCTTTCAATTCAGTGTTTAATAATTGTCGAACAAAAACTGTCGCTAGTGCCGGCGTTTCGACTTAGGAACTTGCCTTCGCCATAATGAAAAGAAGGCAGTCCTGCATGACGTAGCAGTTCGTTACAGTTGCTATTCATTACCGGCAATAGTCAGTCATAGCAATGGCACTATGACAATGCTTCCGACTGATTAGGAAATCATAGACTGTATACTATAAGAATCATTACCTTCTCGGAATCCTGGCTCCAGTAACAACTTCGTTCGTCTAATAGTGATGGACGACCCACCGACTTAGGATCATTGACTCTTTCATAACCGAATGCGCCTTTCTGCATAACCCAAACCAGAGCGTTGCGAGGTGGCCCTGACTGGGCGTTCAAATATAGAGGCCTAGAAGGCCTTGGTCTGGACAGCCAGGCTGGCAGCGTCGACCTATGTACTCCTAGACTATCGACTCCACACCTCTCTGTGGCTCACACCTCTCAGTTTGTGTAACACGTGCTTTTCTCCACCACCACGCAAGCAGCAGAAGTTTGAAGCTAACCAATAACTAGTACGGTGAGGGTTTTGGTCAAAGTGCCGTAGGAAAAGAGTGAAGGGTACATTGCACTGTAGGGTTTTTCATCTCTTTCGATCCGTCAAAATAATAGTGCACATTGTTCTGGACAAATAAGGAAACACAGAGACAATTGCATAGAAGAAACAACGTTTCCTTTTATAGAACACATGTCTGCGTATACAAATTATTGCAATATAAACCTATATACTAAATATATAACACTTAAAACGCGAGTATATTTACACAAGTACAAAATAGGTTTTCCACAACATATATTTTTTTTTTCATTTTGGATGGGTCTCTTGTCTTGTCACCATCACACTTGTGTCAGAGCGCGCACGTTGCCGAAACGCACCTGCTGTGTATCGGTGTCAGAACCGGCGTGGCACTTCGTGGCTTCAGGCAGCACATTTCAGAAAGGTGTAGAGAGAGATAGGCAGACAATAATCATAATGACAATCATAAGATAAACATGACACGTCGCAAAAGACAATGAAGACCTTCACATCTGGAACATGAAGATGAGCACGCTAACATAGAAAGTACTGAGAAGATATTTTCTCTACCCGCAAATAAGTTCCATCAAAAGAAAAAAAAAACATCTAGACATCCGAATGCTATGAACATTGCATTACACTAAGGGCAGCGCTATGTGCTTATGAAAGAAAAAATGCGCACGCGCTAGATCTTGGTTAATGGTAGAACACTCAAAAAGTCAGCGTGCATTCGTGTGGTTGGCACCATAGAGTTCCACAATTGTGCACCAGAGGGAAATGTGGCGCTAGTGTCTATGGGAGCTGCGACGCATGAAGCTTCAGACAGCACGAGAATGGGGAGTATTGCATGGATTTTGGTAAGCTTCGTACTTTTGGTGCCGTGTGGCCAGCAGCCGCTTAATCGCAAGACAAATTTGGGCAGAAGTTTGGCAGCGCGACTTCACCACCTTTGTTCTTCAAGGCTGACCAATCCGAATCGACTTCCGAGGTTCACAACAAGGTATTATTTTAACCGAAACAAAGGTGCAAGCAGGAACGCTAGAGGCAAAACTCATGCAGTACGCATCATTTTCATGATGGCTGACCGATTGCAGCGCCATATTTTCTTCTAGCACATATTGTAAAAACTCTGTGGTTGGCATTACTACCGCTTAAGAGCGAGCCCCCCCCCCCCCCCCCTCCAGTACCGTGCAGAATAACTACTTGTACTGCCGCTGACTTGTGAAGACCGACCACGTTCGAGCCGTTCACAAACCGCATTGCTGCCTTATCACAGTCTACACTGCGAACTTTATCACGCGAACGATAAAATAGTGCCAAAGAGAAACGCGTTTTACAAGCGTTAACAAAAATACATATCTCGCTCTTTTAGCGGCTGGTTTCCGAGCACCTTATACGAGGTGTTTCCGCGTCGCAAGAATATTTACGCCACGACGCTTAAAAAAAAAATGCAACTGCGCAACTGGAAAACACTTTCACTCTTAAAAGCTCTGCATCGCGAGATAATGAAGAATGGCTCTTCGATGTCGAGTTAAAAACATATAGTTGGTATTGCGATAAAAACTAATATTACGAGCAAAAAAAAAGCGCATATAAAGCAGCGATGAATAAAATGCTCGAAAGAGATGACCACAAAATGTCCAAGTACACACGCGAGGTCACTTTTTGTAGAAATACATAAAAAAGAAGATAAAGGTATAAAGACATACAAACAAAAAAACAAAGGAAAGCACCAGACTAAACAGAAATGTCTCACTATATGTCGGAAACATCATTCACCTTGCACGTCCGGGCGCACATGCATCTTTGGTGAAACCACCTTATTGTGGCAGTTTCTGGTATACTGTAAAACATCAAAAAACTACATAAACTCTTAGGCGCTCCTCCGCGTCTATTTCTTTGATAAGTTGGAACATGAGACTATAGGGCAGCGTGAGGCGCGCTATAATATGTTGGTGCCTTCTTTATCACGTGTCGTAGATCAACCACCTTCAGCTAAATCTACTCATTCACTTGAAAGTTTACACGTGTGGTTAACTAAGGCAACTAACTACAATTGTTTCAGATACGAGGAGCTGAGAATCTGCCTTTGTGACTTTCAAAGCAAAGATCCCGATGATGCCGCTATCGTTAGCACTCGCACTAGAATGTATACGCTTACAGCAGAACTACTGACCAACGTGTCCTTACAATGCCACACACGTGTCAGGGTTTCATAGCAGATTACAACCACCACCAGCAGGATCGGGAACATCTGCGCAAGTCACTCATCAGTATTTGTACGCGACTACATAATCTACGCACACCTCCCCAGGCCTCCATTCACAAGTTTTTCTCAGCAGTACTAATCGCTAGACGCTTATCACATTCTGTTGAGCACAGTCGACCCGTGGGCATTACGCCGAAGCTGCCACATTCACAACGTTGTTCTAGCATATGCCAAACGTATCAACAACCACATTCGCGTTGGCTGGTTCGATTTGTGACGTGACCTTGCAATTAGCTCATTTTGTATTCCATCTGTTTTCCCATAACATGAACAGCGTACATAATACAAGGCTTCGCTCTTGAGCATACTGCCTCGTACACACATTACGTCACACAGCCCTACAAACATTTTGTTTTCTTCAGACAGTACCAAGCTCGAGGGTGAAACGAAATTGTCACTACATTGGTCCTCCAGGCCCTATCAGCCATTTGGTTTTTTACACATTAAAAAAGGAGCACCCGTAGGTAATGCTTAAAAAGCGGTCTGCTTCCTTTGGGCAATTTCAATGTTGTATTTAGGGGAAACGCGTACACGGCCATCAAAGCAAGCTTGCAGGGCTTACGACAATGTCCGCGGCGAACTAATCACTTAGTAGAGAGCGCCGTCGTCCTAATACACTGCCAAAGAAAAAAAATATATATATAACGTTAGCGAGGCTAGTGGTGGAGTCGAAAGGACACGCTCTCCTGAAATGACTTGCAGTCTTCGATGTCTGAGCACCAACGTCGCTGCTAAAAGTAATTGGGCTAACAGTACGCTACTTTCAAATCTAACACACCCAACAGAGGCAAAGAAAGATGTTCAAATCGGCATGAATACTTGAGGCTTACTGCAATTAGACTACACGAGAGCGCTCAAATGAGTGAAACGTAATGACACCGTAAATATCGATTATGCGGACTTTCGCTTCCATAGAAAATGCTACCTCATCGATGAGTGTGTGCCTAAAAGAAATATCTGCGTTTCTTCGTGTTCTTTAAGACACACTGAGCGTTCCTGAAGTGTTTCTACTTCCGCAGGACGCTTTAGTAAAATAAGCCCGCTTTCTTCGAAACTACGCGTATAACAAGATTCAACAAATTGTTTCTCGAACACCATCCTATGCTGTCAAGTCTGTGAACACCGGTAAACTAATGAACGAAGAACGGGAACTAATGTTGCTTATAGATCGTCGTGACCTGACGAGGACTTATCGCTTCGACAGTCCCAATGTGATCCCCAAGGCTGGGCCGTTTTGTCCTATGGCACATCCATATATCTCGGCGCCGTCCCGAGAAGCGCTCGAGTTGGAGCGGCTTCCAGACTGTGTCGTTGGGCCGATCGTCCATCATCGCACCACTTCACGGCTCTTGGCTTTCGACTGGTCTATCCGCACGACGGTCAAAGTGTGGGCGGCCTTGTGGTATCCGGTAAGTGCAGCACAGCGTCGTGGATGGTCGGGAACACGATGGGCGTGTTGAACATCTCCAGGATGTCGGAACGCAGTAGCACCTTGTACGTAGGCACTGCGCACGAGATAAGCAGTAAAAGGGGGTAACTGACACAGTTCCATTCGAAAGAGCGCGGTACAATAACTGTTTTGGCAGAGTAAAACAACTGCAAAAGTAGATTTAGTTTTCTCACAAGCCGCACAAACTGCCGTAAACATCAACTGACCAACTAAAGCGCGACGCTATACATATGCACAGATAAATTGCAGATATCTGTCGATATCCGTGAGCAACAGCTGCCAGCACGATTCAGTGTTAAGAGTTGTCTCGGCACAAGCGCTTCGTGTTGCTGCTTACTTTGATGATGCAATTATTGCTAGAACTGTTCTGTACGTCCGAAACGACCTTTAACGTCATTCGCGCTCAGCTGGAGGGCCCTGTGCCCTGAGCTATCAACGGCTTGCCGTTCGAGTGGGCACATACAACAGATTATCACAAACATAGGGCCTGCTGAGGCCCATGCGAGATAAAATAAAGATAGCTGCTCTCCTCGCAGAGTGAACGTGACCTCACGTATCCGCCATCAGTGAACTGGTCACCATCTAAAAATAATAATAATATTAATGATATTAATAATAATAACATTAACAATGATACTTGTAAACCATGATGTGGTTACGAGAGATGCCGTAGTGTAGGGCTTTGGAAATATTGACTATCTGGTATCCTTTAATGTGCATTGGGTCACAACGTATGTTCACCGTTACCCGCCAATTCTGCACACACAAATCGTATACGCTCCCATCTTATGCTCGATGCGATGTCCTTGCGGCAGCGGTTACCAATTCCTCAGCCCTCCACACGCATAAATTATGGCTTTATTCGAAACACCATAGCGTTGAAGGCGGAAGAGAAAATTTACCTAACCTGTGCGCATGACTGTTGTAGCGATCAAAACCGAAGATGAGACGTTATGAGGGCAGGTTCCAACTAGATTTAGCTGGTTGGCTCTGAGCACTTCTCGGTTGTTCAAATTAGAAGCGACACTTCGATTTTCAAGCGCAATTTTCAAGGTCACATGCCTGTAATAAATGATCTGGACTAGCATGACCAAATGGCATTTTGACACAATTTTTTCAAGGACTGGTACTACCTAGGAAAGACTTGCGATTGTCTCGTCTGAGAAGTGGGCCACTCACTTTGACCCAACCCTGTGCCGCGGGAAAAATATGGCGGCACAGAGTTAGACGAAGAGGTAAGGCCAACTTCTCAGACGAGACAATCGCAAATGTCGAAACGGCACGTGCGACGTACGTCGTATGTCGCACAAACGCCACAAGCAGCTAGGAAGAATAGAACCTGTTAGTACCAAAAGCAGTCAAGGTCATTGGCAGCAAGCAAGATATCAAATGCATTACAAATGCAGACGCACCTACGGAAAAGGGCAGGATTAGGTTAGTGCCATAATGCGCGCATAATTCTCGATGCTCAGCACTTTGTTTTCAAACTAGTAAAAGCTAATGCACGCCACATGTAAACGCATTAGTAGTTGAAACCAGTAGGTTTTGTTTGTTTTCACGTCGTCAAAAAATGTGTGTCCCGCAGGCAGAGTTATTGTAATCTTGTGTCTTAGGAACTGCTACCGACATGTCACCTCAACGTAGCATTGAAACACACGCGGATGTAGGATGCCTATGCTATAGAAGAACTGGCAAATTTAGCTTCCAGAAGACTGCTCTAGAAATCTTAGAGACTGCACAGTGTAAGAAGCTCGGCAAAGAGCACAAAACCTTTGCAACAGTGATCACATCTCACCTGAACAACAAGCGAAGTAGACGACGACTTGGGAGTCTCTAAGCTCTTTCAGTATCTGCAAGGAAAGATTGCAAATGCACACGGGTATTTAGATCGACGAACACCGGCAAGATAACATTTAGGTGCAGGTAAAAAATAACTATCTCATATTCAAACCTAACAGCCACGCTTAATGAAGTACACCTTCAGCAGGGCATCCTACAGAATACTTACGGCTTAGAAATTTCTAACAGCCAAGCGGCAAAACTAAAGTAATCAAAAGACACTGTTGAAGAGGGCCAGAATGTAATCGTGAATGATGAATACACGAATGCATACCCTTGCTGTTAGGGCTCCTTCAGCGATAACAAGCAGGCTTCTCCCCCGGCAGAAGAGAGTGTTCAAGCTATTGGGTGCACATCACATTTGCGTTGCCAATCTAATATTCTGTGATCACTCGGGACTTGATGCGCGGCGCGAATATATCTTATCTGGTGGATAATACATACAGCTAATTGCCGTCAAGTATTCTACGTGATGGCACTCACCTCTTTTAGTGTTTCGATTCCTGAGGAGTCAATGTAGACGCAAGCAGAGCAATCCAGGATGACAGCCGCTATGGAGCCTTCATCGGCAGCGTTGTATTTGCCTTGGTCTTCGAGAAGACTGCGCGTTTCACTGCAATTTCATAAGAAAAGCGACACATACATGAGAGATATAGAAATCGCCTCCAATTGTCCAGTGGACGGCTATCCCAGCCCCGCGAGGGGTGGGTCATCACGATGCTGTCACACATCACTACGGATACGTGAGAATGCTTTCGCACTCGTATGTCTGTTTCTGAAACTTTCTGCCCGTAACATATTGTCACGTTACAACGTAACTGTAAGCTGCAGATAATGGCACACAAGGACGTCAAACTGATTCGAACAACGGCAGTATGTTGTTTTTCTCTGCACGCGCATCTTTGTCCTCTTCTGAACAGCGGCACATACAAGCATGCCAGCATCTGTGTAAATAATACTTGTAGAACTTGTACTAGTGGCATTACCCCCCTTCCCAAAGGACATCGTCCCGATGTCATAACATAATTGCCAGATAAAAAGACATACGATAAGCAGTACACAAGGGGATGTTCACAATCACTGTAAGTCTACTCAAGGGAGTGTGACGAATAGTCAGCGTTGGTAAAATGGTTTCATCCTCGAAACATGGACGACGTGTCGCTGTTGTGAACGGCGGGATTGACGAGCCATGTCCTCGTCAAGAACCTCGTAGTTCACTTCGCTGAGACGACGGAGAACTCTATAGGGACCAAAATAGCGGCGTAACAACTTTTCCGACCGGCCCCGTTGTCAAATAGGAGTCCACAACCATATTCGTTCTCCGGGTTGGTAAGAGACATCGCGACGACGAGCGTTGTACCGCAGCGAGTCGATGCATTGTTGCTTACGGATTCGTTCGACTGCAAGCTTATGAGCCGCATCTGCCAGTCTGATAAATTCGTTCGTCTTGACACTAATCTGGTGTCTGTCTGGTAGAAGCATGGCATCCAGCATTGTAGTGACCTACCTGCCGTGAAGCAACCGGAATGGTGTGAATCCAGTTGTTTCTTGCACAGCGGTGTTGTAAGCGAACGTGACGTAAGGGGGGATGTCATCCCAGTTTTTGTGGTCTTGGTCAACGTACATGGATAGCATGTCGGCGATCGTCTTGTTTAGTTGCTCTGTAAGGCCGCTGCTTTGTGGGTGGTATGCAGTAGTTTTTTGATGTACTGTGCCGCTAAGCTGCATGACGTCTTGTATCATCCGGGCGGTAAAAGCTGTGCCACGATCAGTTATGACAACCTCTGGTGCTCCATGTCGGAGGACGATGTTTTTCATAAAAAAGTGGGCAGTCTCAATGGCGGTGCCACATTGTAATGCCTTCGTTTCGCAGTAGCGCATCATGTAATCAGTAGCGACTACAATCCAGTGATTGCCGTAACGAGACTTGGGAAAAGGTCCGAGTAGATCCATGCCAATTTGTTGGAACAGTTGTGTCGGAGGAGCGACGGGCTTCAAAAAGCCGGCTGGGCGCAGATGTGGTGCTTTACGGCGCTGGCACTCGTGACACGTCTTCACGTAATGCTTCACGTCTCGACTGAGCTTAGGCCAGTAGTAGTGTTGGGGAATCCGGGCCAAGGTACGTGTGAATCCTAAGTGGCCTGAGGAAGGCTCATCGTGACAGGCGGACAAGACATCGGCTCGTAACGCTGGCGGGACAACGAGCAGGTACTCAGTCGCGTAAGGGTCGAAGTTTATTATATAGAGGATATTTCTGCGGACGCAGAACGATGATGACGAGCGGGCGAATGCTGGTGGTGGATGCGGCGTACGGCCTTCGAGATATTCGATGAATTGTCGAAGCTCGGAATCAATCTTCTGCTGTTCAGCCAAGTCGGATACACTAACGGCGCAGAGAAAACGGCGTCGAGATCGTGATCACCTGACGCTGTCTTAAGAGGAGGTCGGGAAAGGCAGTCCGCGTCAGTATGCTTCCGGCCAGACTTGTACACGACTGTCAAATCGAACTCCTGAAGGCGTAAGCTCCACCTGGCCAGACGTCCGGAAGGGTCTTTAAGGTTCGCCAACCAGCAGAGCGTATGATGATCGGTAACAACTCTGAACGGGCGACCATACAGGTACGATCTGAATTTAGCTATTGCCCAGACAACAGCTAGGCACTCCTTTTCAGTTGTTGTGTAATTCGCCTCCGCAGATGATAAAATCCGACTCGCATAAGCAATAGGCGTTCGACGCCGCCTTGCCACTGGACGAGGACTGCACCATGGCCGATGTTACTGGCGTCTGTGTGTAGTCCAGTGTTGGCATATTCGTCGTAGTGTCCGAGTAAGGGCTCAAACTGGAGACGCTGTTGGAGCTCGGAGAAAGCGCGTATTTGCTCAAGGCCCCACACGAAGGGAACGTCGTCTTTTGTCAGACGAGTGAGGGGTTCGGCAATGTTTGCGAAATTTTGCACAAAGCGTCTGTAGTATGCACAGAGGCCTAAAAATCGACGCACATCACGTTTGTTGGTAGGTGGTGCAAAATCTGCGACAGCCAATGTTTTGTCTGGGCCAGGCCGAATACCATCAGGGCTAACAAGGTGACCGAGGAACTTTAGTTCGTTGTAACCAAAATGACACTTTTCTGGTTTCAGTGACAGGCCTGCCGTGGGAATTGCAGCAAACTCAGATCTAGGTCGCTGCAAATGCTGCTCAAACGTTTGGGAGAAGACAACGACGTCGTCTAAGTAAACAAGGCGTGCTTCCCACTTGAGACCGGAGAGCACTGTATCCATCATCCGTTGGAATGTCGCAGGGGCAGAACACAGACCGAAGGGCAGCACCTTGAATTCGTACAGACCATCAGGCGTTATGAATGCTGTTTTCTCTCGGTCGCGTTCATCAACTTCGATCTGCCACTAGCCACTGCGTAAATCCATAGAGGAGAAGTATCGGGCGCGTCGGAGGCGATCTAGTGAGTCGTCGATGTGCGGAAGTGGATAAACGTCTTTCTTTGTGACTTCATTGAGTTTGCGGTAATCGACGCAAAATCGGAGAGTGCCGTCCTTCTTTTTTACTAGTACGACGGGGGACGACCATGGACTGTTCGAGGGTTGAATTACGCCATCTTCGAGCATCTGCTTTACTTGAGAACGTATAGCCTCCTGTTTCTTTTCTGATACTCGGTAGGCGTGCTGACGTATGGGTCGCTCAGCATGGTCAGTGACAATGCGGTGCTTTACGGTTGGCGTTTGTTTTATCTTGGATGTAGACGCGAAACAGTCGCTAAACATGCGGATGACAGGTTCGGATTGACATCGACTGCATCGGCTACCGCAGTGTCACTTTCAACGGCTGCAGAAATTGGGGCTATCGTCGCACACGCTTCATCGTCAATGGATTCGAAATGAGCGATAGTTGTTCACTTGGCCAAATGTTGGTATGCTGCACTAAAATTGGTAACCAACAACTCGGTCATCCAACGTTTAAATTGAATTATTCCGCGGGCAACGCAGATTTGCTGAGACAAGAGCACCGAGAGGTTGGCTTCAGCGATACCACTACTGTCATGGTCTGTCGTCCTGTACTGTAACGAACATACTGGTGCGTGGCAGAAGTGTGACGGTGTCGTCGACAATGCGAAGTGCAGTCTTCTGCGGATTGGTATCTCTAGGCTTCAGGTCATAGTCGTCAGCAAACGTTACGAGGCAGTCTCGAAGATTTATAACAGCGCCGTGCTCACGAAGGAAACCCATGCCAAGGATAACTTTCCGGGAGCATTCGGGAAGCACAACGAAAGAAGCAATGAACGTCGACTCACAGATTTGCAGCCTTGTGGTGCATCTCCCGATTGGTGTCAAGAGATGACCGCCGGCTGTCCGAAGGTTTGGTCCATGCCACCAAGGAGTCGTGACTTTCCTCAGTTCAGCCACAAGTTCAGCGCTGATAACTGAGTAGTCGGCGCCGGTGTCGACCAGAGCAGTCACTGGATGGTTGTTGACACGAGCGGCAATGTCAGCAGAAACGGGTTCGTCAGCAACGTGAGGTGTCGGCTGAAAGGAATCGTCGAAGGTCGGTGGATGGGTGGGAGGAGGCTGTTTTGATGATAGCTTAACAGCGGTCCCACCCCCGGAGGCCACTAATTCTAGTTTCTCCGGCGTGGACTTGGGGACCTAGCGGATCGTCCCGCAACAACATCGGCGAAAGTGGAGTATTGATTCGCGGACGTAGAGCGTCGAGGAGACGGAGAGCGTGATTGGCGTCGCTGAAGATTCGGAGACGGTAGACTTGCCAAGTACTCTGCGATGGCGCGGGGTCGTTCGCCGTCCTTGGGCCGACGAGTGTCTGGCCGAAATCCAGATAAGCCCATCTGTCTGTACGAGCACTCCCGGTACAAGTGACCTGGCTCACAACAGTGGTAGCATAGTGGCCGACTGTCGGACGCGTGCCACACGATAAATTTCCGCAAATTAGGTCGCGCATTCTCATAGTGTGGTGGGCCCGAGAAGTACGGCAGCATCTGCAGGCAAGTCGGTCGTTGGTTTGCATAGCGTGGCCCGCCCGAGAAGTGCTGTGGTGTCTGCAGGCTAGTCGGTCGGGGGAAATAACTGGCTGCCGGTGCGGGAGTACGTACAGCTTCCGCATACGTTAGCAGAGGAGCTTCGGTTGGAGGTGGCGCTAATGGTCGTACCAGCTGCCGCACCTCTTCACGGACGACGTCTGTCAGAGCAGCCACTTGAGGCTGTGAAGGCACTGCGTGAAGCTTTTGCAGCTCGTCGCGTACAATGCTACGGAATAGCTCAGCAAGGTCTCTCACGCTCGTGACATCGGGTGTTACCAAGGGTGCTGACAGACATGCAAGGTTGTCGGACCGTTCATACTGCGAAGACCGCTGTCTTAGCATTCGCTCCATGGTCGTAGCTTCACGGAGGAATTCTGCCACGGTAGCTGGTGGGTTTCGCACAAGTCCTGCAAACAGCTGCTCCTTGACACCCCGCATCAGAATGCGTACCTTTTTGTCTTCCGTCATTGCAGAATCCGCTCGACGGAACAGACGAGACATTTGCAACAACCGCTCTATATGCTCCACCTTTCGGTGAGCTTCAACTGCGTTTCAGCGCCTCGCCAGCACTTCAGCCATTCATTGCTCGCAGGCTACAGGGGTAGGCGACTTACACCAGGCGAGATGCCGTCCTAATAACTACCGCGTAGGCTTTTAGACAAGGAGCCGACGACGCGGCCTCCGGATCCCCTCAGATAAGCGCTCCTCGTGAGCGCAGCTGAGCGGTGCGGGACATGCGAGACTACAGTTCATTAAAGATGACAGTTTTTCTTGGGAACCTTCAACGCAAAAATTTTGGTCTGTCTGTCTGTCTGTCTGTCTGTCTGTCTGTCTGTCTGTCTGTCTGTCTGTCTGTCTGTCTGTCTGTCTGTCTGTCTGTCTGTCTGTCTGTCTGTCTGTCCATTTGTCTGTTCGTCCACCCTTAACAATACCGGGCATTTTGAACAGCAGCAACGAATCGGCTATCCCAGACGACTGACCCCATCCGCAGCGCCCGCCAATGTTGCTCAAGGTTCAGCGTTCATACTTGTGCGATTATCCAATTAAAAAGCAATTATCGTGCATATCTGAGGCACCATAGCAACACGTATATACACTGTATGTGCATCTTTCCCTATAAAAGGTATACATTAGTTATTCTAAGGACCGTAGCGTTTATCACGCAATGCTGACCATGTAACGCTTGCAGGATGAGGGAAGCGTTTCCAACGCTTTGCTAAGGCGACACGGTGGTGGCACCTACCCTTCGCCTTGCATTCTACACCTTATCACCTCTGAGAGGGGCGCACAGACCCGTCTCAGAGCCACGCGTTTTCTTTTAAAAGATAAGTGCCAGATAGCGCTCATGTCTCACGTGTGACGTGAGTTGGTGCGCTTGTTCACCTCCACGGCACAGTCGAGGCACTCTAGCGCAGCGCCTCCAGAATACCATTCACCGATTTACTTGCGCAGAACATCAAATACATGTTTTGTTCAATCTCTCCAGATGCAAGACTGTCGCCTTTTGACGACATTTGCAGATTAACATGCAGATACAAGACCAATTTTTTTATTGGCGTACGTACTGTATATATACACGCAGTTTGCTATACACGTAGTTTGCTAATCAAGACAAGCGCACGCCTAGCGCACTGCTTATCATAAGTTCACAAGAGAAACCTGCTGTCGTTGTTTAGGTGCACACTCACTAAAAGTTGTCACATAATATTTGTGGCCCTGTGCGCGCTATACACCATCAGCGATAGCTATGGGTCATATGCTGTTACCTGAGCGACGACCCTGCGTAATATTAATATGAACTACTTAGGGCGGAACCTGCACCCTTATCGCCTCATACCATCACCTACCCCTCAAAAGTTTTCTTATTGTGATAGGACATAGTATTGCACCTTGACGACGACCATAACTGCAATCTGAGCACGATTGTATCAAATTTGGTAGTTTGATGCTGCTTTGCTTTTCTAGTAGACCCTGCCGAAGCCCCAATTTAAACAGCTTCTCTGGAGTAATCATCTCATGTGTTTCATGCGAATGCCAAAGTGGCAGAAATTAGCAATTCTCACGCATATCCTCGTGTTCACGGTCACAATCTTTGCATTGCAGGAAAAATAGCTCAATGCCTACCCTTTTTTTTTCTTTGAGATTGTTGTAAAAGCTAACTTTTTTTTTTGACGGGTGGACGAAGCACACTGAGGCATAGAACAGTACTTGACCATTGCGCAGCACTAGATCGCCATGGAGACATAGCGTGGTAGGTTTGCATGTCCACGTGTTGTCAGAACCAGAGCCGCGACGGTTATGCGATCTTCACTGACGGCAATGGCTGCGCACATTTAACAACGTGGCTTGCATCGTCTGTCAATGAGACACCGTGACGTTTCGCTTGCTGTATCTACATGCTTGTAGAAGCTGGAAAAAAACACACTCATTGAAATTCCAAAACACCTGAACTGATCGATATCGCACGGCAGAAACTGAAGATGACGAGCTAGCACACTCGCACTTATTTATTTTCACTTTCTGACCAGCAATGCGGTCGGTGGCATCTGCGTGCTTATCGGCCACCTAGGAGCTTTTCCGGCCCTGTCGATTTGGCTGCAACTAAAGCAATTTCACTATTTCATTCCAAAACATTCGTTGTGAGCGTTATAGTTGACCCTCGCCAGGCTGTTCCCGCCCGAAGCAGACGATTCGCAAACAGGAGCAGTGGCTGCTGCAGCACGGTTGAGAGCGGATTCCACAAACTGACGTCACATGCGAGAGGGCGCCACTTCTAGATTTCGAGGCCAATACACAGACACATACCAGCGAAACCACCTATCAGAACTGAATCTTTCAGAAACCATACTTGCGCAGAGGCATCACACAGTGTGCAACCCGTCGTATACAGCTAAGTATCTAAGGTTGCGTTCTGTCGAGCTCAAGGATGCAGAATTGACTCGTCTACTTTGATTCAAGTTATTGTTACAGAACCACAGGCGGTCTAAATTTATCCAGAGTCTACCAGTATGGTTCGGATCATAATCAAATAGTGGTTTTGGCTCCCAAGAATAATTAAATTATTTAGTTATATATCAGTAGCAAGAACTTACTCGCTGTTGCCGATGATGGCCTCCATGAGACTGTTCTTGAACACGTCTCTGTTGGCGAAGTACAGCGCCGAGCTGAAGTGGAAGATTTTGACCCGTGGGATCTCTTGAGCCTGCGAAACGTGAGGAATACCACATAAAGTTAAAAAAGTTTGTTCGCGATTGAAATAGACTATTGCGTTTTTGTCCAATGTCCAATACCATTTGCAGAGACAGCACCATGCCAGCCTAGCAAATACCACTGTCTTGTTGATATCAAAATTAGATCAAATAATTTTCGTTTGGAGGTTAACACTAGAGGTCAGTTATGGAGGATAGTCACCCACTATCATGAAAAAAATTTTTAAGAAGCCCATGTCGAATATCGAATTCGCCGATTCTATATTACGATAGCACATTCGCACTTACACGCGTAAGAGTACACGTCTATTTGGAATGAAGCAAACTTGACAGATTCATAGCACAGGCGTCAATTAGGTGTAGCTCACCTTTTTATATCGTTTAACGTCCAGGTATATGTCCGTGTCAGGAACGTTCCCCAGAAAAGACACGTAAGGCCTGTAAGGGAAAAGGACACTGATTGTGCGTGTCGAAGCGCCGGCGTTGAACATAAGTACCGTTACGAATTGGGCACGGGTAGTTGGGCTTGTAGCAATTAAAGCAAACAAAGTTGGGGGAGAGTAGTATCTGCCATTAAACGAAGAGCTTCGCGAAAGAAGCAAGGAAGAGTAGAAAACGAGGTTCGGGGCAGACTCGCGACCGGATTTCGTTCAGAACCCCGTTTATTGCTTAAAAGTGTAAATTTAAGGGCTTGCTTTTTTATTAGGCACAATATTAATGACATCTAACAGAAAATAATGCCGAAGAAAATACAGACGACATTATAAGAAGTGATTTCGATGTAAAATGTGAAGAAAGAGAAGTTGACGAAAAGACAACTTGTCACTGGCGGGGGCTGAACCTGCGACCTTCGAATAATGCGCCCAATGCTCTACAACTTAACTACAGTGGCGGTCATCCCCCAGTCCACTTCACAGAATATACATGTTCATTTAAACATGGGAGCTTCAGTCAACGCCACCTCTTGCAATTGCGACGTCTGCGGAACAGTTTTCTGTCTGTTTGGAGTCATGTAGTGCGCGATATTATTACGGGATGGCAGCTCACCAAATTATTCCTCATATGCTATCTCAAGGCATCAAGTCTGCCAAAACGCGATCCTCGGTCCCTGCCGGTGTTCACTTTCTTCACATTTTTACATTACAATCACTTCCAATAACGTTCCCTGTACTTCCCTTGGCATTATTGCCTGTTAGATGCCCCTTTTATTGCTTTAATGATGCCTGACCAACTCAGCCAACAACATGCATTATTGAAGTGGCGCCTGTGATAAGCTAAAAAAACTATACCGCAAGCAACGCGGAAAGTTGGGCAAGTTGGTAACAGTTGATTTTGATCTAACTTCGCAGTGGGTAGATACACGAAGAAAGGAGAAACAATACAAAGAAGCACTGTGCTTGTTTGTCTCGCTCTTTGTGTGTGTGTGCGTTTCGTCTAACCATGCATGTTCGACCAAAATAAAGTTATACGGTAGTTGAGAGACTCTGACGAGAGGAACAGCGGTCTACATTCGCGAGCATACGTAACAATGTATCACTATAGCGAATCAGGTTTAAGACGATTCCCGCAATCACGCAACACTACGTGCAAGCACAATTAACAGGGAACGCAAGATTGAAGCGCTACTTGAACTGCTGGATCATATAGTTCATCGGGTCTTAATGATAATATCAGTATATTCAGACCAAGCATAATTAAATTAGGAGCCGGGAAATGTCGTTTTCACATCGGACGTATCAAACTCCTTTAGCTGAGAAGCAATTATTTTAAAGGGAGACGAAATAGAGACTTTAAATTGGTCTAACGATAAATACTTGCGAAAAAAAAACTCCCAAGCATTTCCCCGAGGGTGAACATGGTTAAGTGCGAATGCACGGGGTGATGCTATGAGGGGGAGTAAAGTTAAAATCCGTTGGCGACGCTGATATCGGTGTCAGTAACACGCCTTATATCCAGATGGTAGCGTTGCCTCCAGGACATCCATCGCACGACCCGCTCTCGACGGGAGACTGAGAGAGAAGGCGGGCGCGCGAGAGAGAGGGGTGCGCGTGCAGCTGCAGCGAGCGAGGAGAGCGGAGGAGCGAGCGAAGGGGGAGGGGGTATAAGGCGCGTTACTGACACCGATATCAGCGTCGCGTCCCTGGCTTATTCGGTAGAGCGTCGCGCTGCGGCCCGCCAAGTCCTCTTTCTTTTAAAGATAGAGAGAAGACTGCGGACGCCGCCGACAGCGGTGGATGGTTTGGGGTCGCTTATAAAGTGTATTCACACTTAAAACTTCGCCCATACATGCCTTTAAACTGCCACGTCACACCTTTAAACCGCCACGTCGTGTGTCGTCACGCCTTTCAGCTTATCTCCCCCCCCCCTTCCATCAGGCTGCACTTGCTGAAACAATGTTTCGGAAGGTTTTAAAGTTCATTACAATTTTTTTATTACGATGAATTCTATATTAATTGAAGACAAAAGAAATATATGCCTGAGCAGACTCATTCAACATGTCCGACTTCACAACTAGGTTGCGCGAAAATTCCAGAGCAGACCTATCATCTGCCCCTTATTACACTGCGCGACAAATAAACGTAGCATGTTTAAACTAAGCTGGCAGCCCGGTTCCTATAGTTTTATGGGTCTCTAGCTGCGCAATCAGTGCACACGGCGCATGCGCAGTAAGAACTGGAAGCAGCAAACTTACACCAGCGTCCTCAGAATGACGGTGACCACGGAAAAGCCGATGCCCGCGGCGATGCCGATGTCGATGTCCAGTATAACGACAGACGTGAACGTGATGATCCAGGTGAGCTTGAAGAAGAAATGAAAAGAAACAACTTGAGCGATGGAAAAGGTGCAGGTTAAATCACGTTTATATGACGTAGAATGCAGATTTCAATAAGCCAAAAGGTAAAGGCGTCATGCTAACAATGCTCTGCACTCGTTAACAATGCTCTGCATCAAGAAGAATTAACTACTTACAGCGTCCAGTCGTGACACTTTCCACGTGTTGACGCAATCTTTCACTTGAAACAACATCCCTTTAAGGGCTACAATGATGACTGCCGATAAAATGCACTGGAAGAAAGAAGAGCAATGATACCATAATGAAAATATGAAGCTGTGATGGTGATGATAATTATTTCAGAAAATACATGTTCGGACGTGCCGTCGAATACAAAAAAAAAAAATGCGGGAAGAAAGCCGCTGTTGCAGAAAGACGACGAATCACTGGCAGTGACTGCATTGCAGCATTTGTCGAGACGCCGGACGATGTAGTGCCATTTACTCACGAAGCAAGTGCGGTTTGCTACGTAGGCCTTGTGAACAGGAATAAGGCACCTCACACAGACTGACCAACGTGTCGATAGGCAGACTTCCTTGTCATGGCACCTTGTCATTTTTTTCGCACGTAGTCAATGTGATCATGTGATGTCAATAACAATAAATCACAGGGGAAAGGATGGTGCAACGAAAGGAATGGCGCGAGCGTGCCTTAAGTGTCACAATGATTTCTCTCACTAGAGGTCATGTCTGTATCTACGCTCACAGAATTACTGTGCATGTAATAGGTAGCATACGCAGAAACTTTATACGCCAGTAGAAATGCTACAGGCAACTATGAGGAGCGCATGTCGAAGTTTACGAACTAGCGACACTGCGTTTGCACCAAAGCCATGGTTAGGGTGGCACCACATCACGGTCTCTAGAAAACAAAGAAGGCGTTAGACAATGAAACTCACGTTTGGCAGTGTCCTGAAGAGCGGCCCAGCCACTACCATGACGATGATGAGGATACCGGACGCTATTAACGCTGAAATCTGAAGTGGAAAGCGAAAAGTTTGAAAGATGTTACAATAATACGAATCATTCCTTAAAATCAGCATTCTTGCTTTTTGACTGTAAAGGCTGTAATCTCAGGCCCAACACAGTGTTTCGATATGCGAAAATGTGTGCCTCACGCTCACATGCATCTTTTTAAAACGCTTTTGCGCAAAGTGGTTTCTCTGTGGGAAGCTCATTTGTGAGGCGAAGCCTACTTTAGTTATTTTCTTCGCGTTAAGTGCAGGCATCGTCATACACAGCGCAGATTATCAAAACGTTCGAGCTTGAATAAATCAATAGAAATGATTATTCTATCGGCATAAGTGTTCCTCCATCTCTTACTCATGTGCTCGAAAGCGCAACTATTATCGTCAAGGGAAAATTGGCGCTGGATGAAAAAATACGATGCGTGTTCCAGCGCTCCGTACCACACTATAGAATTTGCGCTCGAGGTGATGCATACAGTAGGCCTCGTCACGCAAAAACATGCGAAAGCACAAATACGGCTGTCGATTGGCTAACGTCAGCTTATTTTAAACTGCACTTCCACATTTAGCAGCCGGCATTTTCATGCTATGTACACCAAATGTTTTTTCTGTAGAAAGCCCAACACACACGTCACGTACGTGGTGATGATAACTGCAGCGTTACTGTTAGTGCATCCGGTCATTTCATAAACGGGCCAAGCAACAACACTGACACGAGATAGCATAGCACATACGAACATACGTGCTCAGGTTTGACTATGTACTCTTTGTATTTTAGGAGGCAGGCCAACCCATTGTTGCATAATGAATGGCTCTACAATTCACTCTATGCTATTGTCCAGCCAAGCGATTTCCGGCAACAGACGCCGCTATTTCTCGTGTGGGAGAAAAAAAGAATAGCATACTTCGGTATTAGGAGCGATTGTGAGCACAAATGGTTACAATTCACAGCACTACAGTGAGTGTCGTTTATATTTTTGTGCAGTTCACTTACAATAGCAACGAGAAGCCTTTTCATTTTTTCCTTAAGTTTATTATGACTACGCGTTCATTGTCCTCATACCAGTCTAAAGACAGCTGTGCTTATATTCCTGTGCACTTAACTGACAATTCTGCTCAATCTTGGAACCACTGTAGATCAATATGTACTAGTGCGTTCTGTCCTATAGTACTATAAATGCTTGTTGGTGTGTTTCTTATGCTTTGCTGCCAGAGTAGCATGACATAGTCAGGCGTTTACTCAGCTTTCAGTGATCTCTCCCCTAAGGCAGAATGCAAGAACGTTATCATGAATCAATCAATAAATTATTTGCAGCAAAGTGCACAGACCCCTTAGCAGGACCAACAACGGTGCGACCAATTCTTTCTTTTTCACAGGAATGCAGCTGCAGTACACACAGCTTAAATGTAAATACAGATAAATTTCCATGTTTTTTCTCTCAGTCCCGAAGAATTAAAACTTCAGTGCCCATCCGTCGCAAAATAGCATGCTATAACACGCGGATACGACAATTTCAGTTTCTTTTTCTTTTGCTAAGGGCTCGCACACTAGAAAGTATTATATTTCGAAACGTGAGGTCATGATTGGCCTCGAAATTTCTAAAATATAACCACTAACAACGGCTAACATTTCCAAAAATGAGAATTTCAGATACACCTTGGCAATTTCAGATACACCTTGAGCTTAAGCTATAAAATTTCTGCCTGAATAGGCGAAATAATAGAACTGCCATGACGCTTGATTGTCAGAATAGGTGCCTATTCGTACTGTTAAGAGCTGTGCAGTAAACGTCGGTGCATGATAAAATGGCTTGTCTTTCAAAACAGCGTTAAGCAGTACATACACACACACACGCCGGCGCCCATTACCTGCGTCTGGCCGCCGGCCTTCTCTTGAACGGAACTGCGCGACAGAGACACGGCGCAAGGATAGCAGCCGAGAAACGACGTGATCACATTGGCCGCGCCCAATGCATTCAGCTCCTGTGAAACAAAAAATAAATAATAAAGCGAGGACAGAGTAAAGAAAGCGGCATGTACGATGAATCATAATGGCGTGGATTATTAATACAATTTGCAATTTCCTCATCGAAAGAGGTCCACTAATAAGTGAAAGCGTCGATCAATAATTATCTGCTATGTGGAGACTGCATTTCTGAAAATTAGTATTCTCCACTGCTGCGATACTATAGAAGTGCGTAGGCGATAATGATGAATGACAGCCCCAAGACTTCATCTCATTTTCTGCCGGGTGAGCAGCATTGTGCAGGTGTAACACTAGCGTTGTAAGTTATTGTCGGTTAGTAACCTTGATTATGTTTCGTCACGATGAGCTGTAATAAACGGCGATGCATGTAACTGATGTCCAGTTGACCTCACCGCGTCGTTCTTGAGAAACCGAATGACCTATTTGCGAAGTTTAACATTCAAAGCTCTTTAGTTCAATATCTAAGCCATAGCCGAAGAAACAAACACTGGCATAATTCCCACCGCCCGTTTCATGTATATTGTTGATTTGGGAACACTCCAGACACTTGCTCTCAGATAATACAGGAGTTGCTAGAGCATACGCGTAATGAAGATTGCGTGTTGTATGACCGCCGGTGGCAGTTTTTCTTTTCTGTTTCTTGTCCACTTTAACCCTCCTTTGTACCATAATAACCACCCTTTAACTACTAGGAACTGCAAATCGCACATGCATGCTTCCCTTGGCATCCAATAAGAAACGGTCCCTTTGACCCATTATTGTATCATTCGATGCGAGGAAAATGGCGAAAACAAAAAAAAAATACTACAGATGTCAGACACGGGCTTCTGCACGCACAGAATTTTCCAAGTTGATAGATCCTATTATCATCCAGTCCTGCATTGGCTCTTCCCACGTCTTATACAATAAACCAAAGGCTTAGCCAACACGTGAGTGGGACGGGGGTACAAACTTTCTTGAATCTAAAAAAATTTTTGCTTTCGTATATAAACGCACACAAATAAATACAGGAACTAACATACATAAACTGACACTATTCCCCTTTCCCCTCCGCCCTCTTCTTGGAAACGTAATTCTGTGTACGCCTGACGATAGTTATAGCGCGAGAACAAAACGACGACACAGAGACAAGAAGGACACGAAAGACACGAGCGCTAACTTCCAACTGAGTTTATTGCGCAGAGCTCGAAAATATAGAGAGGAGACAGTAACCGTGTGATAAAAACCATATGGCACAAAGAGCAGAACATGAGTAAAAGCAAAACAAAAACAAAAAAACACAAAAACAAATGCACTGAAAAACGGCAAGGAAAAATCTATAAGAAAACAAAACAGAAAATTAAGATAATATAACTACCTGCCCGCTCCGAAACCTTCGAGAAACCCGAGTTCCTTCTAGGACAGAGCACGGAGGACTTGCTAATACAAGGCACCTGTTCGCGTGCCATCTGCGCGGCCTCGACAATGACTCGGGTGCGTTCATCTCTGTGCTTGCACAGCGTCGCTGTGCATTTGAAGAGAGGAACACAATTGCACTCAGTGGAGTGCTGAGCAAGAAAATCATCTTTCCCGTTTCTAACATTGTTAGCGTGTTCTCTCAGCCGATCGTTCAGACACCTTCCGGTCGTTCCGACATAACAAGCACCGCATGAAAGGGGGGTCCTATAGACAACTTCCCGGGAGCGGGCCGCATACCTGTTTCTATGTTGAACTCTGCATTCTGTTCATGACTGCGTTTTCAGGGTGTTTGTATATTTGGTAAGGCTGATTATTTGAATGGTGCCGAGAACAGGACACGAACTCCAACACGTTTTCCGATTTTCTTGAGCCTGTGTGATATCTGGTGTTTGTATGGAATCACGGCTATCCTTTCACGTTCTGTATCCGTGTTGCTCGGATTATGTCGCTGCCTCTGCTCTGCCTTATTAGTCCGCAGGATCGTCTCAGCAATGGAAGCGATGAACGCCTCGGGGAAACCCGAAGCCTTAAGCTGGAAAACTTGAGCTTTGAAGCTCACAGAGATATTGTGGGCGCACGACCTATTTAAAGCATTCTTAAGGCAGGTTTGTGCTATGCATCGCTCAAGTAACTTGCTGTGACCGGAAGAAAAGGGAAGTAGAGGTTTCTGTGCACATGGTTCATAACACCAACAGATGTGCTGTGAGCTAAAAACCAGTTTTAAATTCAAAAAGTGTAACTTGCCATTCTCGGGCATTTCATGTGTCAACACAAGAGGCTTTAAACAATCTTCGAACACACCTATAGTTTGAGTCGCAAACGAGTGGAACATAGAACAATTACAATTCAAAAGAACTAAAAAATCATCCATGTATCTGAATATTTTCACGACATGCGAGCCTTCTAACTTTTCCTACAGTTTTTTGTCCATTTTTGCCAATAGAAGATCACTGAGTAGAGGTGCTATGCATGAGCCAATTGAAACACCCTTTTTCTGCAGATAAATGCAATCGTTCCATTGAACGAAAGTAGACGCAAGGTACAGCAAAACCAGGCCAAGAAAATCTCGCGAACTGATGCCAGTTTTTAATTGCAAGTTCAATTCCCCAAAAATTTTTATGTTAAGCCTTATACATTCTAATAGCTCATCGTGAGGCAGAGAGTAGTACAGGTCCTTTATGTCAATTGAAAAACCGAAAAAATTAGATTGATTTGACGGAAAAATTCTATCGGAGCCTGCGAGTTTTTGAACAAAACTGGGTCATCAATCTTTAGACACTTTCGATGGGTCTGAATAAACAAGCCGAGTTGCTTTTGCTACGTACCACTTTCTGTCACAATGACACGGAAGGGCATGTCAACCTTATGTGTTTTGGCAGAAAAAAACATGCCGAGACCATTTTTGTCACTTTTGCTAATGTGCTGCGCTAACTGTTTTAACTCTTGTTTACGACACATTTCCTTAGCCTGCGTTTTTACTCTATCTAGACGAATGTCGGTACAACATTTGAAAACAGATTCGATAGCTGTCTGGAAAAGGCGGTCACAGCTATCAAATCTGTTTTCAAATGTTGTACCGACATTCGTCTAGATAGAGCAAAAACGCAGGCCAAGGAAATGTGTCGTAAACTAGAGTTAAAACAGTGCAGCACATTAGCAAAAGTGACAAAAATGGTCTCAGCATGTTTTTTTCTGCCAAAACACATAAGGTTGACATGCCCTTCCGTGTCATTGTGACAGAAAGTGGTACGTGGCAAAAGCAACTCGGCTTGTTTATTCAGACCCATCTAAAGTGTCTAAAGATTGATGACCCATTTGTGATCAAAAACTCGCAGGCTCCGATATAATTTTTCAAACAGTAAAATCAATCTAATCTTTTCGGTTTTTCAATCGACATAAAGGACCTATACTACTCTCTGCCTCACGATGAGGTATTAGAATGTATAAGGGATAACATAGAAATTTTCGGGGAATTGAACTTCCAATTAAAAACTGGCATTAGTTTACGAGATTTTCTTGACCTGGTTTTGCTGTACCTTACGTCTACTTTCGTTCAATGGAACGATTCCATTTATCTGCAAAAAAAAAGTGTTTCAATTCGCTCATGCATAGCACCTCTACTCAGTGATCTTCTATTGGCAAAAATGGAGAAAAAAACTGTAGGAAAAGTTATAAGGCTCGCATGTCGTCAAAATATTCAGATACATGAATGATTTCTTGGTTCTTTTAAATTGTAATTGTTCTATGTTCCACTCGTTTGCGACTCAAACTATAGGTGTGTTCGAAGATTGTTTAAAGCCTCTTGTGTTGACACATGAAATGCCCGAGAATGACAAGTTATGCTTTTTGGATTTAAAACTGGTTTTTAGCTCACAGCACATCTGTTGGTGTTATGAACCACGTGTGCAGAAACCTCTACTTCCCTTTTCTTCCGCTCACAGCAAGTTAGTTAAGCGAGGCATAGCACGAACCTGCCTTGAGAATGCCTTAAATAGGTCGTGCGCCCACAATATCTCTGCGAGCTTCAAAGCTCAAGTTTCCCGGCTTAAGGCTTCAAGTTTCCCTGAGGCGTTTATCGCGTCCGTTGCTGAGACGATCCTGCGGACTAATAAGGCAGAGCAGAGGAAGCGACAGAATCCGAGCAACACGGATACGGAACGTGAAAGGATAGCCATGATTCCATACAAACACCAGATATCACACAGGCTTAAGAAAATCGGAAAACATGTTGGAGTTCGTGTCCTGTTCTCGGCACCATTCCAATTAATCAGCCTCACCAAATATACAAACCCCCTGAAAATGCAGTCATCAACGGAATGCAGAGTTCAACATATAAACAGGTATGCGGCCTGCTACTGTGAAGTTGTCTATAGGACCCCCTTTTCATGCGGTGCTTGTTATGTCGGAACGACCGGAAGGTGTCTGAACAAACGGCCGAGAGAACACGCTAACAATGTTAGAAACGGGAAAGATGGTTTTCTTGCTCAGCACTGCACTGAGTGCAATTGTGTTTCCCTCTTCAAACGCACAGTGACGCTGTACAAGCACCGAGATGAACGCACCTGAGTCATTGTCGAGGCCGCGCAGATGGCACGCGAATAGGTGCCTTGTATTAGCAAGCCCTCCGTGGCTCTGTTCGAGAAGAAACTCAGGTTCTTCGTAGGTTTCGGTGCGGGCAGTTAGATATATTATCTTTACCTTTCTGTTTCGTTTTCTTACAGAGATTTCTTTGCGGTTTTTCAGTGCTTTTGTTTTTTTGTTTTTTGTTTTTCTCTTACTCATGTTCTGCTCTTTGTGCCATATGGTTTTTATCACATGGTTACTGTCTCCTCTCTATATTTTCGAGCTCTGCGCAAAAAACTCAGTTGGAAGTTAGCGCTCGTGTCTTTCGTGTCCTTCTTGTCTCTGTGTCGTCGTTTTGTTCTCGCGCTATAACTATCGTCATGCCATACCAACTAGCCCAAGCTGCCACACTTCTGTGTACACACCTGGATAAAACATATTACAGACTATAGCCGGCTGGCAAGCATGACTGGTCTTTACACGCTTCAACAGCGAGAGAAAAAACTGTTGAATGAGTTGACGCGGTAAAATTTCATGCAGATATGCAGCCACCATTCAGTGAGGTGCATGCACTTACAGAAGAAAGAGAGGAGAGAGAGGAATGATAATAGTTGTTGGGGTCTAACATCCCAAAACCACAATATGATTATGACGGACGATGTAGAAGAGGGCTTCGGGAAATTTCGACCGATTGGGACGCTTTAATAGCGTGCACCTAAATCTAAGTGCACGGAACTCAAACATTTTTATCTCCCCCCAGAAAAGGAGGCCGTGCAGCAGGGATTCAATCCTGTGGCATCCGAGTAGGCAGTGGAGCATGATACACACTAAACAAGCGCGGTGAGTTTGGGAAAAGTGGCAAGCGTTATGCGCCTAAGATGACATGTCCGACCTGGTTGGGGTCAATCTGGTAGTGGTGCCTCTTGGCAAAAAGCTTGGCCATCGAGAGGGCGATGGTGAAAGAGACGATGGCAATCACAAATCCGTTCAGAATGAGCTTCGCCATGAGATCGACACGGGGCACCGAAGGCGTGGGGAACCTGCAAAAGGAAAGTAATAAATTGAAAAGAACGGCTTAGTGCCAGCCGTAAATAGAGAAAACCACAGAAATACTATAGTAATCGAATACTATGCACGATAGCAGGACATACGCCAGTTATTTATTGATTTTATTGCACCACAGATCCTCCTTATCAGAGTCCTTACACTATCACAAAATTTAGCTGACAGTAATACGCCACACGGACGAATCAGCGTGCATGCCAAAGAGTCACAGCATTCGATTTTTGTTACACAGTCCTGAAAGACGAATAGTATTCATAATCTAGTGCCTCTCTGCTTTGCACACCTCTGTCACAGGCTTTCTAAACGTCCAGTCTTGATGTACTGATAGCAAGCTATATTACCGGAGAACGTGTCCCTGCTTTCGCTCGAATATCACGACATCGACACAAGCTGTGAGAATCTTGTGGTGTGTACACATCATGGGATACCGTCTCGATAGAAGAACGCATCCTAACATAAAACACAACGGCTGTTTATTAACATGATAGCAGCGGCGGTACAAGTAAGCCGACGCTGCGCTCGAGCAGTTAGAGAAGCATTTGGATGGAACCGAGCTTGGAAGCTTGAGTTTTATAGCCACCAGCGGTGACATAAGCCTCCGGTTAAGCTGTGGTACAGCTGTCCCTTTGTGGGAAGCGTGCTGCAGCGAGTGGCCGTGTCACACCGGACTAACAAGCGACGAGACTGAGGCTGCGCAGATTTGTGTGCAGTGGTCATCACAACATGAAAAACCAAAACGACTTACGTTTGAGGATTCGTGGTGTTTTTTGTACCATGCTTTTGGAGACATGTACTGAAGCCAATTTAGGCGTCCGCCACAGCCATTATTAGAGACATCACATTCTGCAGCGTACGATAAGTGACAGTGCGAAATAAGTTGTGGCAGACGTGGAATCTAGTGTCAGCGCTGTTTTTACGTCGTGTGGCGTTCTCGAGTCATTAGCAGAAAGGCGGCATATGTTTTTTCCAGAGCCTGTTTTCCTAAGAATGACGCCACAGTTTTGATCTACGCTTTGCGCATTGTATTATTTGCAATGTCTAAAAATGACGTAACTGATTACAGCCACAATAACAGGAATTTTGTTAGTCCGAGTAGATTTAGGAAGGAAAGGAAAAACAAAACAAAAAAGAGACAGAATACTCACCCTGTAGGCACAAATCCTATAACTCGTACTCCATACGCAGTATCGAACTCGAAGACATAGCTGATTGTAGTTGCAAGAATTATCTGAAAAGACGGGACAGTTGCGGAGACCATTTAGATCATAGATATAGAAAAGTCAATAATCAGTTAACCAGTTAGCGTTATTATTTCAACATACTTCACATTTCGGCCAACTATACAAAAGGCTAGCTGCCCATTCAAGACAAACTGCATCCACCGGTAAGTCCGACGATAGTACTAAAAATATAAACTAAAACTAAATTCAACGTGGCATACATAAAGAATGACTAATTCACAATACACAAAACAATTAGTAACATGTATTGAAGGTAAAAAGGAAATAAACATAAATATATCAAAATTCTTGAGATCCCTCACAAATGCTTCAATTTACGCTACATACTTTGGACGTCAATTTAAACTAAGCAGACCATCCGTATGCACCTGGTAGTAATTTTGCATCCACAAGTGCGCAGCAAACTTCAGTTGTCCATGAATTCTTGAGGCATGTTGTAGAACAAGTCTCAAGGTGCCGTTTGCCTGAGATGACTTGAAGGCGTATGTCATCTTTTTCTTCCTTCTCAGTTAACTATGCCAAAATAAGTATTCCGTAGCGGCAACTCCGCAGACCGAATGTTACTCAGCAAAGACAAGATTACCGTCAGCACATCTTAAAGACCAGTACAATCAACCCTATTTATAAACCGCACGAGTCATTCAAGGTTAGACCACGTTAGCCATCCCGCCATGAGGTGAAGTGCTCACCACAATAAGGTCGATAGGTACGGGCATCTTGAGCTTGGACTTGAAGCGAGCGTTGACGCACTCGTGCACCACCGCGCACACAAGCATGGCCGTCATCGATATGGCAAGCGTGACCAGGTTGGTCTGGTGAAGGTTCTGGATCACGTCACGGATCACCTGCACGCGCGGTCATCGAGAGATCACGATTTAAACCCAGTTTATTTATCGCTTCTACGTGACGGGAATACTCATATAGGTGACGGTTTCACGTCGTAATCACACAACTCCAAGCCAACGACAAGTCGACTAGCTAGAAGGTCAGAGATGTCAGTTCAGTGATTTTCCGTTTGTGTAATCCGTGCCACCGTATAAGTTAGTTTACTTTCGTGTTTTCTTAAATTATGCCTTTAGAAAACACGAGATATCCAGAAAGAAAATTTGTACATGGCACTGAAAACTACACAGAAATATTGGTTTGCATACTCTCTAAACAGCGGTGCAACGAATTTACAAGGCCTAGCATTAGTAGTTTCAAACGCTTTATGGATAATATTACCTTCTATTAATGATCTTAAAATGCTCGTAAGGTGAAAGACTTGGTGTGGTCCTTGCATAGATGTCATCAATATGTTTACGAATACTGTTTAATATTACTTAAGAAAGAGGCAACGAATGCTTGGCGAGCAGCTATAATGTTGAGAAATCTTTAGCCCATAGCAGTCCGAGTACAAGTGGCCTTTTAATCCAGAATATAGTCGACATTACCTATAATCAACGTGCTAGTCATCATTCTGTGGTTTGGAGCACAGCAAATTATTCTAAATCTACGAATTTTAGCGGTCCCAAATTGCCTGCCTTTCCAGGCACGCTAACATTCAGGACTGCCAAGTTATGCGATTTTGTCCTCCGATACGATGCCCTGAACATGTTGCACTGAAAATGTGTTACATTACAGCGACTACTAGCCTCAAAAGGTCTGTACCAGCAGCTCTGTCTGTATACAAGCAAGTGAACTCACGTAGACGCTTTGGAATATTCCGCTGTAGCGTCGCACGCGGATGTCGAAGAGCCCCTTTGTCTGGGACACCACAACCTGGACGGCCGCGCCCGTGGTGAAACCGGACACCATAGGCTCGGACATGAAGATGGACAGAATGCCGAGGTGGAGCATGCCCATCAGCAGCTGCATAGTTAAAGCAAAGTCAACAGAAAACGAAATCACGCTCGAGAATAGCGTAAGAAAATGATGAATCGATCAAACTCATGGAACCGATCTTCAAAAAGTACCGATATGCAGACAATAAATCACAGAACAAGCAGTGGTCCGTCTATTTTTTCTTTGCCTTTTTGTCTGTATGCTAGTACGCTCTTCAAGGTCTGCCCAACATGAAAATGATGTGCGATTCTGTTTAAGCGCCATGATAAAACATGGAGACTGTGGATAACTTATTAAACACTTCAGAACTGTTGTCTGCTGCAAGGAACTGCGTCTATGTCAAGCGTTGAATGACGCCTTTGTTCAATACATAGTACTCCGCGAGACGGGTATACACCCGACTATCGTCGTCAATCTTTCCCAGAATGCGCGACTTATTTGCATTGTAACACGTATGCCCATCATTTTATTCCCAAATAGATAATTTAGGCAAGGACAGCTAAAGAACAATCATTGCCGATATAGAGGTAAATGCAAGGGGAGTGCGTTAGAATCGCCTTGCCTTCAATCACTTTCGCAGTCAACGCTAACCAACAGGGGAGAGGGTATCACTGACAGTTTACGATACCATTCGTCATAATTATTTTTACAGAGTGTGCTCAAAGTTCAATAACAACCTGTTCGTTACAACAACAAATTACGGAAATTAAGTCCTTAACATTGAAAACACGTATGACCCGCCGTGGTGATTTAGTGCTAACGGTGCTCGATCGCTGACCCGTAGGTCATGGGATCAAATTCCCGCCAGGGCGGCCGCATTTTCGATGGAGACGATAATGCCCGAGGCCCGTGTACTTCGATATAGAGGCGAGTTAAAAGCCCGAGGTGGTAAAAACTGCCGGAGCCCTCCTTTACGGCGTCTCTCTTAATCATACTGCTAAGTGGCAGTGGTATCGCCACCAAGCAGACGAAGCGAAGGACGACAGAAGATAGACCGGCACGAGCTTATCGCTTCGGCAGCGCTGCTTGCCGAATCAGTTAACACAGCCGTGTCTTTCGGAACAATATCGGTATTTTGGGATGCTAAACCACATTGATTATGATAATTAAAAAAAACAAATGTGCAAATAAATGTAGAAGTATTCACAGGCAGATGTATTTACATCTTTTGACCCACATTTAGAATCATCCAGTCAAAGCGCTAGCGAACTGTACGAACCTGCACTACGCCCACCACGACGGCCAGAGCGCCAAGGACTTCCATGCTCGTCGGTGGAGCATCGTCGCCGATGGCGTCGAGACCACGTTGTCCGAGAGCAACGCCGTCTAGCGTCGAGTTCGAGGCAGCCGCCTCGGCACTCTCCCCGGGTATGATGGCGTTCATTTCAACGACTGCCGATGCCGACAGAAGGCTCACGACAGCGAACGTGCCTGTGCGATGCAGAAAAGACGCGGTCACATGAATACACGAGGAACATCATGAGGCCGGGCCTTATACGTGGGCTTTAAATTAGGTGTTGAAACTTAAAATGATAAAATAGAGAGAACCGAAGTGTATTATTAGCTCTATGGCGTTTTTCTTTTTTCTTGAAGCACTTCAAGGAAAAAAAACATGTAATATACATGTGATGCTGTGCGTGTCTCCTCACAACAGACCTGTGCTCTTCATGCGTGGGGGGGGGGGGGGGGTCTTAAATGAAAAGAAGATAAATGTGAGCCCCGTAACTGTCTCTCAGTGAGAGGACACCTCAACAGTAGCTCACGAGGGATGGAGTAATAAGGAATTGAATGTATAGGGAGGATTAAAAGGTATAGAGACAGAGAGAGGAGCAGGAGGAGAGAGAGAGAGGCGTAGGGACAGCCACATACGAAAGTAAGGAGAAGATAGAAAAGATGGACACGGTCGCAGAAGTCCGAGCACAGGGCACTATTCGGTGAGAGCTCTTGTCGGCGTCAGGAGATGGCGTAGGGCAAGCCAGTCGGCGTGAGCTGCGTTGTTGTCGGAGATCGCGGGGGCACCACCGGTCGGCGCGAAATCTAGCGAGCGAGACCCCTTCCTGGGTGGCTAGAATGCCTGATCACGTATGCAACTGGTGTCATCTCTTATGCATATGGGATAATCTGTACTTGTATTTAAAGCAAAATACAAGTATATCTCACTGTGGCTAAGTAGCTTATAAATGAGAGACATATACTACTAAACTACGTGTGGCAGCTCTAAATTAAAGAAATAATTACTAAGTAACATTTTTTATTATCTGATAATCTGATTAATAATTTCACGAATGAATGAATCAATCACAGGCTCAAGTGCACTGTTTAAATGTGCACCAGAAAAATAAACAAGGAAACACTAAATCAAGTATAAAAAGATCGCGCCATTAACACATTCCGAACATATATACAGGCATAAAACAGTCAGAGAAAAAAAATGCAATTTGAGAGATAAATACACTTGCCCATGCATTCGTTTTGCCACCTTACAACAAGTGCCATTGCGATAAATATAGCTAAATGTCTGCCCGAGATATCTCTGGAATGCCTCGAGTAATGCGCGACCTCGCGCTGTTGTTGAATGTATATACTTACCGACAGAGACGTGCTTCGAGGTGCCCATGAAGAAGTAGATGATGGCCGGGAAGGCGGACACGTAGAGGCCGTTGATGGCACCGGCAGCGGCCAGCACGCCGTACGCGAGCCCTGTCGGTAGGACTTCGTTCGATTGCTTCGCCGACAGAACAAAGCACCCCCATCACTCGAGCGAGCCCATTTTTCAAGATTGGCGCTGTTATATCCCTCATTGTTTACTGAGTCGGGTAAACTGTCAGTTAAACTATGAACCATTGAGCTGTTGCAATATGTAGCCTATAGAGAGAGCACGCCAATATCCAATCACAAAGACTTTAATAATAATAATATATAGTAATAATAATAGTAGTAATAATAATAATAATAATAATAATAATAATAATAATAATAATAATAATAATAATAATATATTATTATTATTATTATTATTATTATTATTATTATTATTATTATTATTATTATTATTATTATTATTATTATTATTATTATTATTTATAAATCGAGTGATTATACATCAGAAAGATTCAACATACCTCGTAGCAAATGCCGCATGATCACCTAGTACAACAAGTACAGCGATTAGGCTAATCCGAGTAAGTCACATTACAGAAGCAATGAACTTCGCCACCGCACTCATCTTTTCTAAACAGCACACGGAGATTGCGCGTCATCAAATGATAAGCATTTAAAGATGAAGAAAGCATCACGTGACCGCGTTTTTACACCCGGGCGTAAGACAGTTACAGTTACAGTAGTTATATAAAAAAGAAAGCAATGCATGCGCGGAGTCCTTACCTTGGGGTATGTGCATGATGCTGACCGTGAAACCAGCCATGATGTCCTTGACGAGGAAGTCGCGCACGCGGTAGCGTGGCAACCACTGTAGCACGGGCAGCACAGAGTAGAGCACGCTTAGTGGTGTGCAGGCGCACGAGCTGAGAAACTTGCGCTTGACCTGTGTGGAGTCCAGCAGGTGTAAAGGTATACACAATGCACAGCACCGGAGAGTGTCGTAAGCTCGTCGTTTCGAGACCACGATAGCACACGGTAAGCACGTAGCCCCATAAACGTCCTCGTCACGTTTCTTATCTACAACATTGCGATTAAATGCCCGTGCCCAAGTCCTTACAGAGTACGGGAAGTTCTATTTTAGATTCTCAGATCAAACATGAGCGTCATAGTGCCTGCAGACTGATAATGTTTCTAATTTTGCGGATAGCTTAGAGCAATGTTAACTTGCAGATCAACTGGGGTAGATTATCGGGCAAGGCGTCACCCTGCTAAGCTCTGGTACCCGGCTTAGTCATAGCACTCTGAGTTGTGTTTCTTTTAACAGCAGCATCGTACACTGCAGTGGCGTTTCGACTTATAAACCTTAGAATTGACATTACAGTGCAGTAAGTTCATTCATATGCACAAAATCTAATGGTTTTGTGTGCAAGGTGAAGCTCTCAGCGACAAAAACAAACAAGAGTTCTACTGCTCAACGACAGGGGCAGAGATATGATAAAAATTAATAACTTAGTTAAGCTTCTTTGTGATGGAGTAGAACGTATTGATGGTGCTCTAAGGCGCTCGATATAGCGCTCAAGTGCCCTGAATTTACCCACCTTCTGCGAGAGGGACGCGTCCGCGCTGTCATTGCCGTAGTTTTTGACCAGCTCTTCTTGGTTCATAGCTTGCCGGTGGATGCGAATGCGGGGCTTCGAGCCATCCAAGTTGTTGTTGTTGGAGCTGCCGTTTTCCTGCGAGTAGGCGCAGCAATGTACGTGACCATCAACAATCGATCAATTGATATGTGGGGTTTAACGTCCCAAAACCCCCATATGATTATGAGAGACGCCGTAGTGGAGGGCTCCGGAAATTCCGACCACCTGGGGTTCTTTAACGTGCACCCAAATCTGAGCACACGGGCCTACATTTCCGCCTCCATCGGAAATGCAGCCGCCGCAGCCGGGATTCGATCCCGCGACCTGCGGGTCAGCAGCCGAGTAGGCCATCAACAATCAAGACCGAGAGAAAGGAGCCAAGGCAAGCAAAAAAAGAAAATGGTCCAGTGTGTAAACCGTGTCTTCAGCCGAGGTTTACGGCCCTCTCACACGTGATTTTCTTGTGCTATGCCGATGAGTCTCTACCCCAACCCTGCGCTTAGTACAGTGCACCTTGTCATTTGTAACCGGTATTACACCTTAAAGCTAACCAGCCCTCACATGAAGTTAAACGAACGAGTGTTAAAGTGGAACTTTCGAACGAATGCTGCATTTATATTAGATAGTGCCGATTTTATGCTGCAGCACCACCTCTGCGTTGTGATACACACATTAGTTTTTCTTTAATTGCCATACAAAATTTTACGCGGCCTTTATCCTTGATTTAAGCGTCTTTTAGTGGTGCTAGCACTTCGGTGTCTTTGTGCGTCGATGTATTCCTTGGGTTAGCTTTGTCTTTCGTTTAGCTGCCAGATCTTCTAGGCCACCTATAGAAAGAGGCGCACGATTTAGATTCGCTTCGCCAGGTGCCGCAGCGAACTCAACTGCTCACAACAAATTGACCTGGTCTTTCAAATTACATTCATATATTTTTTATTAATGAGGGTCTTTCCTAACAGTCAAGTTGGCGTCATCTTAACACTACGCTGCCATATGGTAAGTCTTCTGTATAACTTAATTTGAAGCAGAACCATCTGGTACGTACCAATGTTAGTTTGAAAAGACTTTTTTTCAATATTCGGCAAACAGAAAGTCCTCGACTGGAAGTTCTGGAGTGTTCATCGGTGCTCGTGCCACTACAGTACGCAATTATTTATGTTTACTTGTAACGCTCATCGCCATTATCTCTCGCACATGCGCGCACACACACTGGCTCCACCAATGGGCGGCAGCGCGTTCACGTTGTTGGACGGGCTTCGACCTCGTCTGCAGTCGGGAAAGATTGAATAGGGTGCGCGGTTTTTCGGGACATCACGTTGACTGGTAGGAAACGCCACAGGAAAAAAGTCGGAAACCGTGGCGTGGATACTTACGTCACACCGGTCTATTATTCATAATTTCAATAATGAATACTTACCAACAATGAACTCCGAAAGATGATTCATTGCTTGATGAGAAAAACTGAAACGCTCTTTTTTACATGCTGATGCAGCGCTAAATACTGAACAGAAGACGTTTTTCTGCATTATTTAAAACACGTATAGATCCACCTCCCTCAAACAAACAAAAAAAAGGCGCTAACTCAGACTCCCCCAAGAGAAATTTTGCCCTCAGGACACACACCAAATTTTTCCTCAACCGGACTTCCTCGAAATGGAACTCCCCGACATATCACTCAGCCGCACTCACCCAGAATGAGCCTGACGGCTTGAACCGAGTCTGGGTGATCCGAGTCGCGAGTCCGTTAGTGTAAAATTACCTTTTTCAACCACGGCGTCAATGCTCTTTAACGCTAATATGCCAAATAATCTGTGCTCAACGATACGCCTTTTAATCTAGTATATTCATTTATGTGTTGATTGATTTGTGGGGTTTAACATCCCAAAACCACCATATGATTATGAGAGACGCTTCATTTATGTGTTATCAGTAGCCTCAATTCAGTAAGGACATAATAAACACGCAACTTACATGAAATGTATTGACATCAAGAACTTCGAGTTAGAGAGCTTGCGGGGGAGGAGGCTGTACGAGCCAGATGCCAAGAGTTATGTGCGCAAAAAATGTGAGAGATTGATGTCGGACTTGAAATCCTACACTTCCATGCACTACCACTTTTCCAGCAAACGTCAACCGGACAGTTTGCGGGTTGTGGACGTAGAACAGTGCGGCTATCATGTACAGACCACGCGGAAGTGACAAAACTTGTGCATTTCCGCACCATGTCTATAAGAATGCTGAATTCAGCGTGTAATTAAGTTCAACGGAAGTTACCAGCTGTCTTGAAATTCGTGCCATGTACAATACGGCGAGTACAGTACGTTATCCTCTTCAGTCACTTGACATTCAATGGTCTTAGGATTTTCAAGCTTGACCGTGTCAAGCGGCCAATATGTCAAACGGGGTAGTGTCCTCCATAATTTTGTCTGCGTTACTTCTCACATCGATGACTTATGGGATTGTGCTTGCTTAGGAGAGGTGTCACATTTATATTGGACACTATATGTTTCAGAATCCTTGTTTTATAATTGGCATTACCAATCAGAGCAGTGGAAAAAAACAACGTTCTTTTCAATATGAACACATCGTAACTATAATACGCTTATAAGTACTCAGCTCCTCTTCGCGTTCTCACACTGTTTATTTAGTTTTGCGTGCACCAACTCTGAGTGGTCCTTAGCGTCGACGTGATCTTTGTGTTGTTCCAATCAGCAAGCGAAAAGGTGACGAAAGAACGCTGTCATGCTGGGCGCAAACGAACAGCGCGTAGAGTCGTATGGCTCTTAGCACGCCGTCGCTCGTTGAGGCGTGAAGTCAGTTAGCGTGCTCACGTCGCATGACCGCAGTTTTTTACGCGTACATTGTTGTGCAACAACGTAGCAACCCTACGAGTCACACTCTGACGCTAGAGATTACACTTATGTACGCTAAAGCAACTGCCAAAACCGAAAATGTCCGAGGAAGAACAGGGGTTATTGGTGACTATGAGTTCGGGAAACTCGCGGCACGCCAGAGAGGTTTAAGAAAGAGAATAATTTCGGTCCTTCCATTTGTACGCCACCATAATACAAAGAAAATCAATACAGTTTCTTGTAATTAAAGCCTGAAACCCAACCGAGTTTCTCTTAATTAGACCCTCGGCGCTGAAAGATCAATTATCCGGTATGGTAATTCTAACCAGGCACTAACGCCTTTCTGGGTCGGTTGCTCTATCGGCCGATTTAACCATGTAGATTAACGCCGGTACCACACATGCGCACCTGACTGCGATTAAGCCCGATTAGAGTCACGTTTATCAAAAAGGCTCCTTTTTGCAGCTACCGTAAAGGAGGCAATTACGATCAAGAAATTCGATTAGATCGAAAAGTGAACGGGACACCACTGAGGCAATTTTTCGTTCGAGGTGCCCGTTTATCGCTTGGACACAACCGAATGAACCCAACTAGCGAATAGATAGGCCAAAGAAAGCGTACGGGATGTGAATAGTTGTCTCTAACTAGAGTATAGCAATTGTAGAGCAAATTTAGACGAACGAAAGCGGACAAAAAATCACGCTTGCCGTCGGTGGGATTTACACCTGCTAATTTCTAATTCCGCGTCCGACGCTTCACCGATTGAGCTATACGTACGCGAAAGATATTGCGCCATCCACTTCGTTGGGTATTTTTGTGCATGTAAGGTTTCGGGGTGTTTAAAAATGTCCTCGCAGCTTGATGGTGGAAGAGATAGATAGATAGATAGAGATAGATAGATATAAAAATAGATAGATAAATATAAAAATAGATAGATAGATAGATAGATAGATAGATAGATAGATAGATAGATAGATAGATAGATAGATAGATAGATAGATAGATAGATAGATAGATAGATAGATAGATATGTGGGGTTTAACGTCCCAAAACCACCATATAGATTATGAGAGGCGCCGTAGAGGAGCATTGATTGATTGATATGTGGGGTTTAACGTCCCAAAACCACCATATAATTATGAGAGACGCCGTAGTGAAGGGCTCCGGAAATTTCGACCACCTGGGGTTCTTTAACGTGCACCCAAATCTGAGTACACGGGCCTACAACATTTCCGCCTCCATCGGAAATGCTGCCACCGCAGCCGGGATTCGATCCCGCGACCTGCGGGTCAGCAGCCGAGTACCTTAGCCACTAGACCACCACGGCGGGGCGATGGTGAAAGGGGGAAAAGACTAAGGAAAAAAAAGAATATGACAAAATCTCCCCGAAAACCTTTTGAAGAAAGATTGCCGAGATGAGCTGAAATAGTAGATATGTTTTTTTATAACATAAGCAAAACTGTCACAGCTTTTTTCGCCTAAGACGACCCTAACGCGAAACCCGGTGTTTTTATTTTTAATTCCAAGTCGATCACGTATTCATCAGCTCTTTCGATCCGGCTGCCAGTTCTAGATTCTCAATACACATCTTAACTTGAACACAAGCCATTTAATAAAAAAAAAACGAGGCTAGCCCAGCTTTCCTGCTGCGTCGAGCTAAAGTAATATGAATTCAATGTTTAAGAATATTCCTATCAACTTACATTTGATTCTTAGTGCCACCGCGGCATTTTCTGCTGCAATGCGATTCGATTTGCAAAAAAAAAAAAAATCTATTTTGTATGAGCCGTCTATTTGCAACCTTTCAGGATGGGTGTAACATTTGCATTTGATTCTTTTAGCCCTTACAAGCAGAATGCATTGACCTTTGCGGCAGGTCTGAGACGTACGTGTATCCGAGCATAATGCGATCGGATGGACTCCCGTTCGAAAACAATGGAAGTAAATGTTTGCCTTATATAGTCAAACACGAATGCTTCAGCACGTGCCATCGAGCTAGTAAGTGCCAGTCGATGACATATTGATGAGCCCTTCCAAGCTAGCTGCCAATTCCAGATTCTCAAACCAATTCTCAAACCACATCATGATCTGAACATAAGCCATTTTAAGCGAAACCTTGAGGCTAACCTACGCCCACTCGAGCTTAACTAATGTGAATTTAGTGTTTCTTAAAAGCCATGTCGACTTATTTTATTTTTAGCGCCACCGTATACCGCTTGCCGTGCCTATGCTATTCACTTTAAG